AGCTGAGGAACAAAACAAATCCCCAAAGACTTTTTCCAAGCTTAAGCAACCTTTTATTATAGACTCTCGAAACTTCAGTCAAAATAATCCAAATTTTCTCCATACCATGCTGTGGCAGGCATCCAGGTACATCTTAGTACCTGTCTTGAATGTGTATATACAAAGTACAGGTGTAGACATATGGCCACAGGAAGCTGTATTCGAAGCCCTACATTACAACATAAACAATCACAGTGCTACACAGAATGATGTCTGCAAGGTTGCAGCCCTGATCACAAGTGATTGGGATTCGGGATCTGGCTGTACCTAATGGCAATGTAAATATTGCTGTTTGTCTTCTGGAAGGAGGTCAAACTTTTCTTCATCCTCTCCTTTTTTTCTGTTTCATTGTTTACCAGAGTAAACATAATCTTACAGGAATTTGCATGAGAAATTTAGGGGAATGTATATTTATATCTCTTATTTGTTACATCCAATTACAAAATTGTTATATCCTAGTTCTGTACTAGGAGGAAAAACAGAATTTCAATGTAAGCAGAATATATAGCTATAACTGTGTCTGTTGCAAACATATTGTAATGTCTGTCCTTCTATGAGTATATATTAATCTCAAGTTACAGCATATTCTTGGCTTCACCAAAAATAATGACACTAAGATTTGTTTATCAAAGGACATACATAAGTTTTGAACTCTACCACACAGAAATTTTGTCTACTTTACACTTGCAAGACCCAATGCACATCTTAAACAAGTCTTAGAACATTAAAGACCACCAATCAAAACTACGTATGTACTTAAAGAGCTCTTACAATACAAACAGAACAGCATTCAGGGAATTAGATTCTCGATTTATACCATTCTGATGAAAACTATAACATTAAAGATATGCTAAAAACAAACTCTGAGAGCTAAACAAACTCTGAGACAAAGACAAACTTGAAAGGCCAAACAAACTTAGAAAGACAAGCAAACTCAAACATGCAAAATAAATAACCTAAGAGACAAGCTTAGGGCTGGTACATATGATAAGGATTACTTATAAGTCCTGAAACTTAAGTCTTAGCTTTACTGTTATACATTTTTTCAAGCCTTACAAGTCTGACTTAGGAATAGAGTGCTGCTCTAAGTCTTTAATACAAGACTTGGCAGACTTTTTTTTAAACCAATGAAAATTAGACAGCCAAGTGTCTACCTATTTTTACATGTAGAAGCGGGTAGATTGGAGAAGTGGAAAGAAGACTCAAGGGCATCTATACAAATAACGCAGTAGAGAAACTTAGTTTGTGAGAGGATGAAAGTATCCATGAAAGTTACTTTGTCATCCATTTTGAGAACTGTATACACTGTTTTTGGATAAAAACATGAGGAATTTATGGTAATGTTGGTTATGTTATAATCTTGTAAGACCCATATTGTGTGTATACAAGAGCCACATGGCTTGCAAAAACTTAAGTTTTAAGACTTATTAGGCAAGCCTAACCATGTGTAAAGTCCCTCACTCAAAGAGACAAGTCAACTCAGTAAAAAGAGCTATGGTTACTCAAAGCAACAAGTCAATTCAGTGAGACAAGCTTACTCAAAGGGACATGTCCAATCAGTGAGACAAGCTAACTCAAAGAGACATGTTAATGATATAAAAGGCATAAAGGGATATGAGATATACCATGGTTGTACTGTGGGCCCAGTAAAAAACTTCAGACAAAAGTGTGCATGAAAGAGCAGCTGCAGAAACGTTTTACACAGGCTTCATTCTCTACCATCCTTCTAAACGCAAGGATGAATGAGAATATTTTCAAAGGAATGAGCACTCATGCTTTTCATTATATATCATTAAACTTCCAACATAGAAAAACTTAGCATTCAATAAAAGTGTACCATCAGCATTCCCAAAATTGATCAAATAGCTTTCTTGTGAGGTGATCAAACCGGTAATGAGATGCGGTAATTTTCACTCCCCCACCTGTCCTTAATTAAATGTTATAAAGCATCTTCCTCAAACAGGTATCTGCCTCATTGCAGAAGGAAATGACTGCTGTAAAAATCTTCATCCAATATTGCAAGGAAAATATGTGAAAACAGATGTGAATTGAATAGTTTTTGCTAACCTTTGTCGGATTTCTACTCTCATATGCCATGATGGAATAATACTGAGATATATGAACTTTTCCATGCTCAATTAATGACACTGTTTAGTTTCTGTCCTTGTTGAAAATAAAAGAAATGTCTTTCCTTCAAGCTGAACCTCTGGTTTCTATGATAAAAGTACAAAACCTCTCCAAGAAGAAAACTTTAGAACCATATAACAGAATACAGATGCAACAAACCTATCATAAATGCTTCAAGCTACCAATATTTTCAAACTGTCTATCAAATCCTGAAATATGCACTGCAGTGATGATGTAAGTAAAATGATGTGACAATGTGCCCCTTTCCCTATGTACTTATATAGAATTCCCTGAATAACTTTCTGCCTCCATGGAAAAGGGAGATAACTCTATAGCCTTGTAACACCTTTTCAGCTCTAAAGTTAGATAACCCAGCTGCCCAGCAATAACAGATATCATCTTCATACTTTCTGAGGTGTTAAGAGGGGACCCAATCATGTTTGAATTTCTGATAAAAGTGTTACTGAGTAAACAGCCAATATTTGAAGTTGTACATTTAAACAACTGAATACACCAACATGATGTAACTCCCAAGTTATTGCGTTAAATGACCTGGTACATATTGAATATATAGAGAATTGGCATTCAGACCATATTCAGTGAAACAGTTGATATGACAAAACGGAAAAAAAAAATCTTTGTTAACAACATAAAAACCAAACTCAAAATGATAAAATAAACCTATAGTAGAAAAACTTTGACTGGAGACTTGTTTCTCACCAAGTCTGTGGTCTCGTCTAAAAACTCCAACTCAGGCTCAGAAAATCCTAAATCAGACAGGATCTCCACCATATTCTCCATTTAAATGAATGTTCTCGCAATCACTTCTCCTACACTACTTCATTCTGATACACAAGATCCTTAGAATTTACAAACAATTTAGGAAAACCAGCATTGTATACTTAATACCAAGGCTGCATCTGAATGGAATTCTGTCCTATTCTTTAACAATACAAGATAGACTTTTGGACAACAGCTTGTATATGTAAAGAGCTTAATATCTATTTCACCAGACCTTTAAAAAATTTGTTTTCATCACTGCAGATGAAAGAAGCTAGCTTACCATTATACTGAGGGGGTAGGATTTTTATAATCTTCCAGGTACCCTAGAATCTATGAATGAAAATTTGTCAACTATGAAATCAGCTCATGTTTTGTATGTGAAAAATGTTTCTTCTGCATGAGGAGAAAAGAATTATGTGTCAATATGCCAAGAAAACAAGCAAAACACCCTCATTAGGAGGAACTTAACCCTGTCATTTTACATATTTAAGATTTACCTAAACAGATCAACTAAACACTAGATATATAGAGAACAAATGGCCAGAACACTGGGCAGACAAATGATAAACGATCTTAGTAAACTTGATTGTTTTACCATGCATAATAAAATTCATATTCAATAAACAGGTAGTAAAAATCCTCTGGTCAGGTGTGACCTAAATAAAAAAAACTACTGGAGGGTCTATGTGGTTTTATGTACATGAAGACCTTCTGGTAATTTGTTCATGAAACATTTGAATTTTTGATAATGATTTTTTTTTTCAATGATTTATTTATTTTATTTACTTTTTTTTTTTTTGGGGGGGGGGGGGGGGGGGTAATGGCAGATACAGCAGAGTATTGAGAAGTTGATGGCTTGTTTTAATACTCAACAAGTCATCAACTTCTCAATAGAGAATAACAGCAGAGGTCAGGGAAGTACTGCATCTCCCCCACCCCCATCCTACCTCCCCTGCCTATCAAGAGGTAAAATTAATGCAAAAAAAAGGACAGAATAGCTAATACATGTATCAGCATACTGTAAAATGGGCACCTGTCATTTATCAGTAATATTAAAATGCTGAATAATTAACACTCCTTTTCTGCATTACACCCCCTCTTTCCCCAATACACCATTTTCATTTTAAAAATGTAACCTAAAATCTCAAATTTTCTTGAAATAAAATAGTGGATAATCTGCCAAATGTTACTCCCCACTTCCACACTGCAGCAGTCATAATAGAGATTTGAGATACTGTATACTGTAGAGTGCATTTGTTCTTGTAATGACCTTATGATTGCTAGGTTTCATAACAATCACGGCACACATTACTCATAACGACAGACACCTAGCAAGGTCAAAAGTCTTCATAAGTGTCGAATGCTCAAACATAAGGGAAATGCACTTATGCCAGAAACTGCAATAAAACAAAAGCTAAATAAACTGCTGGCTTTTCTGCCAAAAAAAATCCCTCACAGATGCAAACTCCGTGTACAAACTTGCAAAGCACCATTACAGCATTAAATTTAGAGAGTATCTATAAAGCCCTTCCTTTTTATCTCTGGGGCTAAAAATAAACCACACATCTGAGTTACATCAGAGAAATGTGGTGCAGAGAGTAGAGAGAGAAGTCTTTTTCACAGCACTCTGCTAAATTCTCCTCTTTGTTTACCAAAGTGTGCACAATTCAATCTATTGAGGCAATTAATTTGCGATTTGTACATTCTTACACAATTTGTTCTGCATAGTTGAAATATCTTTCATTCCTGTATCTAAACTCAGTCTCAATTAATATCATGCTTCAATAAAGAAATCTTAACAATCTTAGAAAAAAAAGGGGGGGGGGGTCAATACAACAATACAAGTCTCTTTTCATCAGGATTTAAATGCAGCAAATCCTAAAATCATCTGGCAAAAAAAAAAAAAAAAAAAAAAAAAAAAAAAACATCAACCAACCAATTCCCAGTCTTGAACTTCCTAAATCTATCTGAAATTCTCAAGATTTAACAATACATTGTTTGACTGGAATAAAGTCAGCTTTGATAGAACTTTTAAATGCGATATGTTTTACCTTGCTTGGTTTTTTGGCCAGAGCTGGCATGCTAGTGGACTGGGACTGGGAGTCTGCCAAGGGAACTAACTCATGTTTGGCCTCCTTGACCGCCTCCTCCTGGGATAGACTATGCTTCCTGGGTTCGTCTTTGGTGACACTGGGAAACTTCCTTTCTCTCTGAAGGACACTAGCAGAACTAACACTTCGACCAATATTCTTTTTAGTTTGATAGGGAATCCCCAAAGAATTTTTGTCTGTGGTGGATTCATTGTTTTCTTTGGGTGGTGGGGCAATTTCTTTTACAAACACAGAGGTAAATCGACCCAAGTCCTGGGACTGCTCAAGCTCTGGAGTCAAAGCCCCATCTGATCGCTGATTTGACACACTATCCTCTGGGACTTCAAAATGAAGAGGTCCATCATCAAACGAGCTGGATGGGGTAAGAGCACTACAGGGAAGATTCAAAGACAGGTCCTTGTTATTTTTCTCACCTCTATCATCTTCCATATCTTCCAGATCTATTTCACTACTTTTGGACAGATGGGGTGAGCTATGCGAGGAGGTCATTTGACACACTGGAGACATATTATCTTTACACTTGTCACCACTTGGGTCACTTTTAGATTTGGGTTTCAGCAATTTTCTTTTCTCTGTTGGTTTATCGTCACCCGCATTGCTCTGAGTCTCTGAAATTTCATCATCTTCAAATGTACGAAATGCTTCATCTCCACTTTCACTCTGAAATGCTTGGCTATCGGTAAGAGACAGATCACTTGTTTTAGACTCTAAGTCCCCTGGAAAAGGAGGCAGTTCTTCATGCTCTGGAGTTTTTGCCAACATTCCGAATCCATTGGAATCCATGGCTCCAAGTGGTTCTCGGAATGTGGTTTTTGATTGAGGTGGGTGTGTCACATGACGAAGACTAGATGATTTCCGAACACCTTGGATGGGTTTAAGCTCTACTCTGGGTAATTTCCATATTCCGGGTAGAATATTTTCTCCATGAGAATCATCGGCACTCCTACAATGTGTAGATTGCACTCTTTTCACAATATCTGCTAAACCAGTTCTCCGTTTTGGGGCTCCAATTTTCCATAATGTGAAAAATTTTGAATTTGTATCTATTGAGTGAGGTTTGTATGTGGTACTACTATGAGACAAATCTTGGTCAGATATTCCAACACCTTCATCATCCGAAATATTCACTTTCCGAGCTTCACTCTTAGCCCTCCTGAACTTGGCCATATCATTACGGCGTTTAATGAGGGCTTTGGAGTCCTCCACAGGTGATGGAAGTTCTGGCGTGTCCGAGCTTGCCTTTTCGTGCCCGCTATCTGTCGCACCACTGTCTGGAGTCCCCGAACTGTTTGAATTCTCACTTTTATTCTCATCTCTGTTTGCTTGCAATTGTCCGTCTGATATTGACCGTCTATCTTCCTCTTTCACTGATGAAGGTTTACGAGGTAATAGCTGACTATCACTTATTGACTTTGAAGTACTGTCATCAACACTTTTTCGAGGAATGTTTCCTATTCTGTACTCAGAACTTCCACCCCTACCCCCTTTTAAAATGTCTGTCAGGACCCTCAGACTACGACTTCGGTTTCTGTTGAGGGGGGAAGGGCCTGTTTCCTCACTAGGTGTGGGAGATGCTCTAGGTGAAGTATGCGTGGATTGAGACTTTGGGGCAAATGGTTTTGGAAATTTTTTCGGACGGCCAAATGTTTTTGTAAAATCTACCTGGTTTAATTCCTTTATGTCCTCTACTGTGCGGTCAATAATGGCTTTAATATGACTTCCTTGGCCTGGGTCTGTCTTAGCCCTCCCGTGCAGACCTGATCGAATTTGTCCATTTTCTTTGAAATCTGGTAGTTTTGGTCTAGCAATCTTTGGAGAGAGTGTTGTATTTAGCCCATTTTTCTGTGTGTCCTCCTCACTTAATTCCACATTCAGCTGTACAGGACTAGTGACCACAGCGTCTTGTGTTCCGCCACTAGGGGGCACTGTTTGGGTGTGTTCAGTTTCCTCTGAATCATCTCTTTCCATACTTACCCTGTTTTAATCAATCCATGAATGATCAATTCTCACTTTTATCATTTTTATTACATTGCTTCCTATCACAAATCCTTTCCAGATCACATTCCTTAATTGTGATAACAATGCCAAAACACTTCAATGCAATGGGCAAGAGCCGGCCTCTACACTCTCCCAGCAAGAAAGACAGATAGGGAGAAAATTTGGATTAGGTGAAGTTACAGATTCATCATCAGTATATACCATGTGTTAAAACCACAAATAATTCCATATTTTCCACAGCCTTAAGCACAGCAATCTGTAAAGAGGAAAAAAATAAGACATTTATGCATGATTTATCATTAAATCTTCATATGATTCATTTAATCCCAACAAAAAGGATAAAGAGGGTAACAACACTTCCGACATTTAAATTGAATAAATATGCTAAAATATTTTGAAAATAAATATTTTGAAATATGTTTAAACTTTTAACATATTGTTTGAAATGCTTTTCTTATTGTGGTGTTTAAAGCCTGTCATATCTATTCCAGGTATGTGTATATATGTGTACATAACACACCTGAATATTTACAGGTAACCTTCAGACAATCAGACATTAATAAAAATTCAAGACAATTTAGTGTTACGTAACCCTATCCCATTCAAGTAAGATTTATCTCTCTATCAAATCACTTAAAAGTAAAATGCATTTCCACTTTAAGTCAAAACTTGTCAATACGAAGAAAGCTGTATCTATATAGTTGTATAAACTCCAATTAACTTCTTCATCTGTTTATTGCAAATTAATGGGATGGAATAGAAAGGAAAACTCAAGTTTACTAGGGATGTGATAGGAAATGCATTCCATAAATTCCTCACAAAATTTTAAATATTTTTGTGAGGAGTACGAGGTATTGATTTGATTACCTCTTACATAAATAAATGATTAGGGAGTCTATAAACAGAGGACTGCCATTAGGTGGGAAATGAGAAACAAGTTAACCCCACCTACCCCCATTTTATGATACCTTGGAATATATGTATTAGAACACAGACTTCAAATTTATAAGTACTAGCTGCAGATCTAAGTGTAAAAGAAGCTATAAAAAGTGACAAGTGCTAATACATTTTACAAGGATATATCTTTTTTTTGAAAAAAATTCATACTGTATTACAATTCTCGCAAAATTCACGGGGCAATATATCAGAATGTCCTAATTCATGTGTATTTTATTATTAAAATCTCCCACAGGTGTTTCACTAGTCTACAGGAGAAATCAATGATTTTCACCATAAAAATGTACTGATACAATGTAATGGTACATTGTTAGGGGTTAATAAAACATTAAGGTAAACAGATAATATACAGCCAAACCTTGTTATTTCGAAATGTTTTGGGACTGAGAAAAAACTTGAGACATCCAAGGATTTGAGATATTGAGTGTAAAATACTTAAAGAATAAGTGGTTGGGACTTCCAAATCCATTTGACATATCCATAGTATTCGAGATATTGGAGTTCGAGATACCAAAGTTCAACTGTATAGCAAAATTTTTAATTTCCAATTTACAAGGTATTTTTCTTATTTATGTTTTTAAAATTAATATTGCAAAGGAGAGGAAACTAGCTACTTGTAATAACTAACAAAAAAAAAAAATTCTACTGAATAATGAAGAATTATATCCCCTGAATGACTATTAAGTCCAAGCACAACAAAAAATAGTGAGGGTGTAGGTAAATATTTTTCATGCTCTCCAACATTCAAAAGCTTCTTAGAAATTGGCAAAACGTGATTTTCCGGCTTCCTCTTGTTAGACAGGCTTCCTGCACATGATAAACACACAAATTATGATCTATTTACCATCTGGAGATCACAGTGATTTTCGCCTTGAACTGGAGATTCCAAGTGAAATTGCCATTATGCATTCCCGTTATGTATCAATAAAGAATCATTAACACTAGCTAAAAGCTCCGAGTGAAAAGAGAAAAAAAAGGCACCAAAAAAAAACGTCCAACCTGTCTTCGTTCCGATTTCCCTCCTCTTGCATATTTTCAGAAATGGGCTCAACAACACATACTTGTATTAATTCTTATTCCTATGCTGCCCTCCAAGATTGTGTCCGTAGTTCCTTTACTTTACCTACACCTAAGTCGAGGGTCTCGATTAAGATAAACTGGTTTGTTGCCTTTTGATTTATCAAGCATTACCCCCACATGGACAAAATATTGAGCAAGACTTGGTTAAATCCATTAATTGGTCTCAAACACTGTTACAGATTTGAAGCCTTTTGGTGTAATGATTATAAGCTACTGGAATGCCAAGAGGTACCTTGTAAGAAATGAGAGATGTTTGGGGAATTCATTAAAATATCCCTAATTAAAGGTTTCCAAATACTCTGTAAACTAAGTCCTTTATTGACCCCAGAAGTCATTTGTGTCAACGACTACACAAACAGACAGATTTTAAAACTGTCCTTTGAACAACTAGTAAGATTATAGTCAGACATTAAGGAAAAAAAATCACAGATGTCAAAGATGTTTGATAGTCAAACAAATATTGTTGAATAAAAATAAAATTTAAAATCCATCCTATTAATCTAATGCCCTTTTAACCAAAATAATATTATTTAGTGATTTGCTTAGCTTGGGTATACCCTTCCGATGTTAGTCATGTATAGGAATTGATATCTAAATATTGTCTGTATTTATTTTCACCAGACATCAAAGGGAAACTCTAGTTCATAGAATTGATCATATAGAGGAAGACTCCTAGGATAAAATAATATTGAATGTGAATCTTAAAAGACAATCCAAGATGATTTTAAAACCATTTAACATCTGTTTTTGCGAGGGGGCAAAGCATACATGTTTATTTAATATCTAATTCTCATGTTCTTCAACTTTTAAAGTAATATTTCGGTAACCACTGCCTTTGGCGGAGACCACAAGGTTTACAAAAATGACAATTCAGAAAGTCAACATTGTAAAATTCATATAAATACCAGCTGAGTGCTGGATTTACTGAACTGAATTCCTTATTCGTACTGAAATTATAGGTACAAGTTCAAAATCTCAGGTCAATAGGTTACTTGTCACATATCTAAGGAAATGGGATGGTTTAGGCTATTTACAGAATCAGTTCCTCTTCTGCTAAAATTTCTAATTCCTCTCTGCACTCACTTTGTAAATGACGACATATTAATTTATGTTTTAAGAGAATATTATTTAAGAGTGCCATAAATGTGTTTTTTTCCCCACAGGGTCATAATTCAGCAGAATCACAATTTCTGTTTAATCCGCGGGAAAAAAATTACACCGATTTTTTGGACTGCCATTGGTGCCGTCATGGTGGCTTAGTCGGTAGAGCGCTCGCTCTGTGATCAGAAGGTTGTGTGTTCAAATCACGGCCGCAACTGACCTAAGTCGATAAGAAATAGGTAGCAACTGTTCCTTCGCCAAACGCTCGTCACTTTGAAGTGAAAGTTGCAGAATGAGACCTTAAAAACCAAGGCCCCGTGTCACGGCAGACGTTGGCATGATAAAGAACCCTAACTACTCAATGGCCCTGAGTGCCGAGTAAAGGTCTAAATTTGAAGTCCTTCACCGGTATATGGTGACGTCTCTACATGAGTGAAAAAATCTCGAACGGGACGTTAAACAACATACAATCAATCAATCAACTGAACTGCCATTGTACATCTTCAATGTACTTTAAGTATGCTGTGACAAATTTCCGCAAAATAAAGTATGTCTACAGTATCTTGTCTAAGAAAAATTAGTTAAAATGCAAACAATTTTTTCATTTTAATTTACTGTATACATTCTCACCTCAGATGCATGCGGTTGGTACAGTATTACTTGGTATATTTATAATTTTGATGTTTCCAATTGGGAATGAAAAGAACAGCTAGCTATATAAGTGTAGACAACGTTAAAAATGCTCATGTCCATACAGAGATAAACTGAAAACTATTAGTCTTTCAACAAAAATTTTCTGGACATTCGAATTAAATAGTATGAGTTGAGCATTCCTATACTATTCTTTACAAGACCACTATGTCATTTCATCTACTGTGAACACACTGTAATTTTCGAGAGGGGGGGGGGTAATTTTTGTTGTCCATGTTATTTTCATGGTATGATAGACCCACGAATTCATGCCCCCCTCAAAATGATTAAATTCAATTCTACAGTATGTTGTTTCTTCTTCAACCATGAAATTAAATCCCCTCAAACCAATATTATTTCCTCAAACCATGAAAATTTGACCCTACGAAAATAAGAGATTTTACAGTACAATGTATTTTACATCATACCAGGCTCGCTGGATTTAAGTCATCTTGAGAATGATCCTCTATGATAAAACTTGATCCAACAATACCTTAGTCTAATCAATTCTTACCATATTTCGTTACCATTTGTTTGTCTCATGTCTTTCTGTAAACATCTGAGAGAGCAACAATATCCTAATATGCTTTTTTTTCATGTGTGTTGGGGGGTGGGGGTGGGAGGAAGAGGTAATACCACTGCTTTCCTGAAGGCTTTGTAGATTGTAAAACAAGAAATTTGACAATTGATCTTATTTGAAGTGAACAATTATGAAATGATCTGCTATCAGCTACAATGTATCTGGAAAGGGGAGTAATTCTTGTCAATATCTTTTGATAAATAATTAATTAAATATCTTTTTTTTCAATCAATGCTTATAAACACAAGGAAAATATAAGAATATAATTTGGGCCTTAGCAATCCCCCTCTCCTTTTTAATTTTTGGAAAATGCTGGAAGAAATGAAGTCAAGACATGCATGTAGACTGGTGTAGTACGTCATGTACTCGATTCAGTGAATGCATAAAATGACAAAAACTTTGTATTTGTAAATCTTTTTAGTTGTACGCATTTAAAAAATACAATCTTTAAGGTACACTGTACATGTATTTTTTTTTTTTTTTCAAATGCCAGGAGAATATTTATGTTTTTTTTGGTCTTTTTTTCACAATGTGTGTCAAGGTACATCATCTCAAGCCATAGTTAGTACTCTTTCTATTTCCACAAACAGAATAAATATCAAAACATGTCTTACAACAATGGTCAAGTTATTATACTCATGAAATACAGTGTATAATTACTTTGCAGCAAAATTATTATTCTAAACTTCATAATACTGCTAAATTCAACTTTAAATTTAGCAAGCAAGAACAAAAATTAAAACCAAAACATTCATAAAATCGTTCACTGAAACATGAACTATATGCAGGTAAGCCTAACAAAATTCATTCTCATCTGCAGTTGCAGTCGTTTGATATGCTCTCCTATTTTGAGATCACCCCTTGTTATGGAAAAAATAACAATCACTGCCTTTTAACAAATAAAGTTATGACTTCACCGTTATGCCTTCTTCCGAATTTACAAAGTATTTATATAATAAACTACTATGAAATGCATAATTCTACAATGATTATTTTCGACTTGGTTTATACATTTACTCCATTTCTATGTTTATCTTTTTTATTCTTTGGGATCACAAAATCTCGTAGAACTTACCTGAGAATACCTGGGGCAAAATAAACATTACAATGGCGACACATTTATGACACATTTCCCGTACTGTGTAGCAATGCACTTTTGAACTATGCACTAAGACTTATAAACACTTTTCCAAAACTTTTTTCTTACCTTCTAAACTAACCAATATTTCCTCCGCCATTTTGAGATTCTGACACTCCAAGCCCCTTTTCTTCATGTTCTTCGCAGAGTTTATAGTCTTTATCAGAAAACGCATCGCGAAGCGATTATCACCTGCGGCGCGGATCTATTTTTCCTTGCCCTCGGCACGCCAGCAAAATGTCCAATCATTTCTTTATTTTTTTCATTATTTCTTTACTTTTAAAAACCATATTTATTTGAATGTTGTACGAATATAATAAATGAATGTGCAGCAAATTCTATGCAGAACATATTAAAAAAAAATCTTTCGACACTTAAAGAAACTTATGCTAAAATAATTATTTCACTTATTTAAAAAAACAAATATGTTTGAGGCAATGATCAAAAAAAAAAAATGAATACGAACTTTAATTCAATCTATAATATGTTGTCATATGATTCAATGATTAAATGTTACCAACTTATTCAGTAAACCATGACATCCTACTTTACATTTGCTGAAGTCCTAGCCAAGCACAGCCACGGTGAGGGAAAGCCAGGCGCGTAGCCAGAATGGAAGTGAAGTGTACGCAGAGAACGGGGGGATGGGGGTGCTTTCCAACTTTCACTAATCAAAATTTTATTAATACGTTACCAAATTACCAGATTGAAAGGTTAGGTTTGGAAATAAGTGGGGGGGGGGGGGCACCCCTCTGCCTCTTCCCCCTAAACTATGTCCCTCCTGGTGAGGGCCCAGAAGCTCCTAAGTTTTACCAAATATTTCACTCATTTCTTGCAAAATAAAAAGACACTATTTTGAAATTTAGCGTTCTTTTAGCAAATAAAAGACATATAGTAAAATTTATTGTTTTAACGCAAAGTTAACATATAGCAATATTTATTGTTTTATCGCAAAGTTAATACTTCCATGGAAAATTACTGTACTTGTAGTTTAGGCTAAATATTTAAACGGTATATATTGGTATCATAGACTCTTTCTTAAACGTTCAAAAACGCGTATACTTAATTATTGATAACTATTAGCAAAAAATACCGTATTTTAAATCATGTACTAGTAAATCATGGCGTTCAACGATGTGTTTGAATTTTAATTTCTCAAAGATTTTTTTAAAATTAATGTCAATGTATTTAAGAACAGTTACAATTTAACGAATGATCTATTGGAAATTGGCAATGATTTCATAAAGGATTTCAATTTTTTTTTACACAGTCATATAAAATAAAATTTCAGTTGAAACTGTATGATACAAAAATAATTCATAACACGAATATTTGTTGGATGAAAATGAGATTTTTTTTCTTTGAATCTCCCCCCTCTCTCTCTCTCTCTCTCTCTTGGTCAAATGATGTGTACGCACTTGCGTATTTGCGTATAGGCAGCTACGCGCCTGAAAGCGAAAGCGGGGTTAAAATAAATTAACCAGTTGTATTAATTGGAAAGTCTTAAACTATATTTTTGGTGTGATGTAGAACAAATAAATGTCAGGCACGTAGCATCAATTCTGAAGGGGGGGATGTCATTATAAGGAAGAAAATGACAACTTACCTGAAAAAAAAATCTTTGACGAGCTCAAAAAGAGGAGGATTCTCTAAACTCCATATCTTATTGGAGGGGGGGGGGGGTGAGCCCTTCGGACTCGGTGAATATTGTACTCCTCAGGTGGCTAAATCATCGTATTAACCTAAAAAACAACAACAATAATTGTATATTTGTACTCATACAGTTTTACACATTGTAATTATTTACCTGAAATGATAATGTCACAGAATCATAATTTAAATGAGCAATGTTATGTATTCATATCGTTGGCATGTCTTTTCTTGATTATTGTAATTGTTTCATTTTTTTTTTGGGGGGGGGGGGCTCTTGGAAATTAAAAATGTTCTATATCTGGGTATAATACAACCCTGTAAAAGATCCACGGATTAAATAAACCGAAACTCAAAGAATGATCAGGGATTAGAAAAAATAGTCTGGTAATCAGCAACAATCAGAGACTTGCCTGTATATGCCATAGCTATCTACACTCTATCAGTATCACCAAACTTAACTAGACATTAGTGCTTTAATTAGCATAAAACACAATATTCATAGAGTGCGCCCTAACATTAGAATCTATGACTCTGGGACCACAAATTTCACAATTTTGGAAGGCTCACTATAACCATGCGCTTAATTGTCTGCTTAATACCCAGAGCAGATAAGAAGATTTTCAAAGAATTTATACGTTAATTTTCAGTATATGATCTATAGAACCCCACCCTAACACCAGAACCCCTGGCCCAGGGGCAATGAATTTCACAATTTGGGAAGAGGCAACCTTGCTCATCATAACCATACACTTAGTTGTCTGCTTAATATCCGGGAGCAGAGAAGAAGATTTCCAAAGAATTAATGAATTTTCACTATATGATTAACCGATCCCACCATATCTCTAGAACCCCTATTCCAATTGAGAGAGATGCAATTAAAAATTAATATATAAAAAAATCCTCTATATGGAATTCCATATACGACAACATTCCAATAAGACAATAGGTAATACCATCTATAAGCGGTGGCAGTGAGCAGTTAGCAATAAGCAGGGGCGGTAAGCAGTTGGAAGAACGCAGTTAGTTGTCGTATATGGAATTCCATAGTATGTCCTCTATAAAAGTCTTCTGGTTTAAATTTAATTTATAAATTTTAATTGATAAATTGGAACATTCATGTATTTTTATTGTGTTTCAACAAACGATTGGGGCTTACAGAGATCTCTCCCTGCATTTGAAAAACAGAAATTACCAAGAATCTTGCGTTCCCGAAGTTGTAACTTACTAGTACATGTATTTCTCAAGCACTTGGAGGTACCATTCAATTTAGATCATAACTTTACTCATATCACACGAATTAAAATATGCCCCCCTCCCTGGAAATATTTTTGTGCTGGTATTTTGATGAAGTTTTCGGAAAGAAGGGGGAAGGTGAATCTTGCTGATTTCCTAAGCGTATTCAGGGGTTATTTAAACAAGAAAAGCATTTCTCAATTTAAGATTTTTTAAGCTAACACTAGAATAACATTTTGGGAGAGATCAAACAGAGATGTGCCATTCAATGTGGTACTTGAATTTTTCTAAACCGCTGTAGTCCCTTCCATTACCGCTAAAAGTTAAATCGTGTAATTCAGGTGCATAATTGACTTATCATAATTCATAAACATGTTCTGCGATCATTCTTCTTCGATGACTTTATCTCTTGCTTATTCCGTGAGTTTATATTCTTTCGCGCTATCATTCAGATTCCGTCAGTGCTAAGAAAAACTGTCAATCCCTTACCTTTGTTACCAACATGGAAAAATATACATGTTTGGAAATAAAGCTTTTGTCACTGTTTTTGATTCTAGGAACCGTTTCGGCGCTAAATGACCAACAAGTTAATGGATTTTCTAAGGTTTTGGATGAAGTGATAAAATGTAAGAAAATTCCTGGAGGGATAGTTACTGTCGTTGAGAATGGAAGTACCGTTTTTACGAAAAGTTTTGGCTATTATGACCTAGAGAAAACTAAACCAATTAAAAACGAAACAAAATTCTGTTTGGGGTCACTCACCAAAGCTTTCACTAGTGCTGTTATAGCCAAACTGCTTAGTGACCATGAGAGGTAAGTTTTGTATCTATTTTGAACAAGTTTTTATGAAAAAAGTACATGTAAATTACTTTCTGACCCTACATGACAAAGCTTGGAACATTTGCAGTGGGTATTTTATTATATTGCACAGTGGGTTTAAAATAAATGTATATTGTTTTTCCTCCCTGTGCAAAAAGCTATAAAATGTTATTGAGACAATACTTCCACTTGCTGCTTCGGATCATTAACACGTGAGTATATATATCTCTTTTATATTATAAGCAGTTGTTATATGATGAATTATGACAAGAAATGCGCCAATTTGGCTTTTTTATGTATATTTTGTATCAGTACAGACAAAACGCCTGGCCGAGGTGCACTTCCTATATGTTTATCGCCCATTCAGTGGATGTAAATGGCCAATGCATTGCCTTTTTCAAAGAGAGCTCTAGAAACTGATAAATTTTTCTTTTTTTAGACTTTGAAAAAATTAAATCATATAAAGATGTACAAATTGAGTTTATCCAGTTAATTTTCAATATAGGTTACCTGTCTTAATTAAAAATGATCAAAGACTTTGAAATATCAGTTCGCAGAAACTGTTGTTTACTTACAAGCAAACACTTTACCTTGGTCTCATATAACGATAAGAATACTATTACAAATTGTGTCATTCATTGTAGATTTTCATTTGCTTTAAGCTTTAGTCTAAGGGTAGATCACTCTAAATGCATGAAACTTCCACGAAATTGGAACTCTTCAGTATGCAATGTTAATAACTTCCTTAAATTATTTTTTTTTAGATGTAGAATGTTTTTCATTCTTTGACGTCTTTTATCTTCGGAATTTTTAGTAATGCTAATGATTTAGAGAAGACCACGAAAGAATCTGTCATCACCCACCGAGTAAAACGGCACCTCTAATCGAAAAATAATTACGATGAAATACCACTGTCAGTATTTGCCAAGAAAATATGTTAACTATACGATACACTTTTTTTTCGTTTTACTAATTCTAAAAATGATATACTATATTCAAAGCTTTATCACTTCGTAAAGAATTATACAAATCTGAAGATCCCATTTATCATCTCTTTAAGGATAAATAACATAAACAAACTTTTTTTTCAGAAATCAGAAATAAGTCTTATAGATTTATGTTCGTATAGATAATCTGAATAATGTTTGCCAGAGTAAATGAAGAAATTTTTTAATAATGTCATAAAATGTGTGCAAAAAATTGTAAAGATTTATACAGAAAATAGAACACTGTCTAAAATTTGAACACCAAATAATACTCAAGATTTCCTTGTATTTTAGTAATTTAAAATTTATAATTTGTGTCATTTATATTCAAAATCATTCTAAAATATATCTTTTATTTGTGTTATTTGTCCGTAGAGATTTAGTTAATGTGGAGTTCCTATCGTCCGTTCATTCCACAGAGGCCAGTAACATACTATATATGTTTGATTTTACGTAATCACTTTACAGCTGTATATATACAAAAAGGACTTTTTATACCCCCCTTGAAAAGTTGGGGTATATGTGATGAGGGTGTCCGTCCTTTCGTCTGTACCACTGGGGGGTACACATTCTTATCCACACCTCCTCCTATACCACTGAACATAGTGCCTTTGTGCACCTCCTATTTTATGTTCTGATCGGACAGTTATTTGGGGTTTCCAATAGCGAAAAAATGGATTCCGCCATTATACTCATATGGGGGGGGGGTATCATTTTGTGAGTGCTCACAGTACCTCTGATTTGTTTTGAACATATTTTATTGACAATATGTCAACGGGATTGGACACAAGTTCCAAAAACTTAGATAGTCCTCTCCCCATATACAACCTCTAGTTGTATATGTATAGTGATCACGTAAGATCACTGGTCCCTGTGGTTCATCCACTGTAATTCATGCAGGTCTCTACCAACATCATCTCAACAAATGAACTGATGTCATGACCCCAATCCTAGGTCACATCTCGAAGTTTAAGATCAGTACACCCAATAAGACGAATAATTATTTGAAGCTACAAAAACAAAACCTCAAATTTGTTATAGCTTTTTGCTTGGGACCTGGATTCAAGTCCCATCACAAAGACTAGCTATACGGTCATTTACTGACATTCATGGTCAAATTAAAGGTCAAGGTCTTATCAGTTGCTATAGCTCACTTATTTTTTGAAAAAAAAAAAAGGATGGAAGTCCGTTTAATTTTTTCGGACCAGCGAGCTACAGGTCTGCAGCTTTATCAGTTACTATGCTATAATATGTAGAGTCCATATATCCACACAGTCACAAACAGAATAATCTAATACTTCTCACTATAGTTGTTGATTCAGAATATGTCTCAATTTCAAGGTTTCTGTGCTCCATAAGGTAAAAAAAAAAATCCGGGTTATCATTTTGATACAACTATCTTTGTGTAGGTTTAAGAAATAGTTACTAGTCATGTATATGCCCTCTACAAAAAATTAAAATCTTGTATATCACAATTTGTCATATACAAAATTAACAATTCAAAAATTCTAATGTTTTGTAAAGGATACATATCTCAAAATTAAGTCATTTTGGCATCGTTGTTTTGGAATAGATTGCTTCATATTTCACACAAAGCTGTTCTACTTTCGTTGGTTTTTGAGTCATCAACTCTATATTAGACCTTAAAAGACAATAATATTAATAAAAAGTCAATGATTTATTCTTCCTATAGAACTTGTTCCAGCTAGGATCCTGTGTATTGATCTAGTGTTTTCCGTTTAGTTACACACTCTATAACTGGTCTAATATTTTAAACTTAAATTTCTAGTTCAAACTGAGATTAATATATCTTAAAATACTTATAATTAAGATGGACATTCCTTTGCATAATTCCAGGACAAAAATTTTAATTCCCACCAATTTGACAAGACAGCTTCGTGTAAAAGATGTTTCCTCTCTTTCAGCTACACATGGGATACACCTATCGCTCAGATTATGGGACCATCGTTCCGGCTTGCAAATGATCTTTTGAGCAAGAACGTCAACTTTCGGGATCTTCTGGCTCACAAAGTCGGCGTACCCTCCAACTTTGGCCCTCTCCTGGTAGGCTTCCCGGAAAACTTGACAAGACAGCAATTTATTGAGTATGTCTGCATTGATGTTAAAATCAGAGAGAGAGAGAGAGAGAGAGAAAATCTGGTGTTAATTTAAAACAGTCAGAATTCCTGAGACAATTATGAACGTTTGAAGGGCAGTATGCATTCCAAAAAATTAGAGGTGAAATGATAAATTCATCATTAGTTAAGGTCATTATACTAGTATTTTATTCTATCTGAACAGAATGTTACCTTACCAGGAACCTAGTGAGCCCTTCAGAACAAAGTTCCTGTACAGTAACTACATGTATACGCTAGCCGGCTATGTCGCAGAACGGATGAGTGGGAAATCTTGGGAGGAATTGGTCAGAGAAATCTTGTTTCAGCCTCTTGAAATGGACGGCAGCGGTTTTGTAAATGAGGTGAAAAACTTCAGCGGATTCTCTCCTGCCTTTGTATATGTTGATGAAAAACTAGATTATGTCGACAAAAATTTGTTGTAGTAAGTGAAAGTTGTGTCTCATTTCGTACCATAAATAAGGCAAAAAGCACCTTCGCAAGCAGAGTCCAAATTGTTTCGAAAAACACGACAAAACATAGCTCACCCTTATTTTATCCAGTATTTTTTTTTCAGACAGCCCATGATTGCTAAACATTTATTAATTTAGGGGATCTCCTAGGACACTTTTAAAAACACGACATGTACAAATATACGATTAAGGTTCATTGACCCTCTGATAAGAGAGATAACTCTCACTGAACTAAATTACTCTTTTTCCTTTATAAAATTGTCAAGTTAAACGCCACTTCTTTCAAAATTTCAAAGTAGACTGAAATTATCTGCATTTTATAAATAAGTTATATATATATATTTGAAAATCATTAACAAAAGCAAAATTTTATGGTAAAATGCTTCACATTCTGGTTTGAAATTAGAAGACGGATGGGCTCACCAAAGCAAGTAGTAAGCTCACAGAGCAAAAACCTGTATCCATGGTACATTTGTATCTTTTTATCTCACCTTAATATGCTTTTTACACGCGGGTGATACTCTTCCACAGTTCGGTATCGCCTAGTGGACCAGCTGGATCGATATATTCCACAGCGGAAGATATGTCAAAGTGGATGAATTTCCACCTTGGAAATGGTTCCACTACTAATGGAAGCGAACTCATAGCAGATGCCTACTTCTCAGAACTTCATAGGGAACAAATAAACACGCCTTTTTCAGAGAACAACTTGTATAAACCCATCCATCCAATTTCAGACATGACAATATCATATTGCCTTGGTTGGATATCGTCAATATACAGAGGTAAAAAGTATCATCAAACTTTTCTTTTGTGTTTTTTGTTTGTCTGTTTGTTTGTTTGTTTTAGTGCCAATTGGTAAACTTTTTTTTCCATGACAGAACTGTGTTCCATGCAATATTAAACATTTTTGTATGAATTTGTTAAGTTAAAGTTAGATTTTCCTTTACAAAAGTACTGAACGTTTCCCTTTTTCATCCACCAGGTTACCGGAAGCTATGGCATTCGGGAGGCATCGCTGGTTTTTCTTCCATGTTATGGTTGTTCCCTGATCTGAAGTCAGGGGTATTTGTTGCACTTACGGGAGCTAAGGACAACAAACATGCCCATCCTATCTATGCTATCGTTAGCCAAGCAGCCGATTTGCTACTAGGGGAAGAACCTTGGTTGAACCAATCAACAGCCTGTTCTTTTCCCGCGCCCTGGAAAGAGGTCAAACCGATTCCACGTGCTACCATTAATGAAACACATCCTAAGGGTTACTGGAACATAAGCGTGTCCCCAGATGTATATGCCGGTTTGTACGGCCATCTAGCATTTGGTAATATCACAGTTAAAGCAGAAGAAGATAGGATGTTGTTATACTACGGAAGATTTGGTGAAATGATGATGCTACCCATCAATAAAAACATATTTTTTGGATATTTCTTAAATAGCCTTTCATTTGTGAGTAACTCTGATGGAAACACGAGACCATTTGTGATTGAATTCAAATTCAATACTGACAACACGGTTGAAAGCCTGGAATATCCAGTGGATCTTATGAGACCACAGAAAACATCTTTCAAAAGGATAGATAAATTAAGAAATTTTAATCATAGGGGTATATCTAATTCACTGAAACCCAAGGCAGAAAACAAAGGTTTCAGGACAGCTTTGTCAATGGCTGCAGCTTGGTGCTTATTTCATTGACCTATAAAAAGATACACAGCTCACCAATAAAAAAAAAGCAATTCCAATAAGTCATGTAAATGTGTTTTAATTGAAACAAAATATTCATAAGGCAGTTATCAGTTGATTATAAGTATTGAAGCATTTAATTTTTTAAGATTGAATGTAAAATATCATGAAATCCACTGCCAATGGACTTTGCAAGAATTTCATACTCTTAATGTTTACTAATATAATTAACATGAAAATAAAGAAAATTAAGAAGACCATAAATTATTGTTTATACTTGCAATTATTTTGTAGTTACCTTATACAAAAAAAAAATATATGGTGACAAAAAAAGAACAAATATTTAGACATCAGCGTGTTACCATATATAATACCTAGCTAATGAACCATTCTCTTGAGAAACCTAATGTTTTACAAATGCCTAGTTTTTACAAATGCCTAGTTACATACATAAAGGAAAAATACTGATAAGTTGTTGTTAACCCCCCACCCCCTTCTTTTTTTCAAAAAATAAGTCTGGTTCAGTAAGCTTAAAGCTGTTAGGACGGAATGTGAGAAAATACTAGAATGGTATGTAAATATTTGTCCATATCTTCTTTTTAAAAAAGCACTGATTGGAACCGTACATCACAGAAATAATCAAAACATCACACACATGTACATATAATTTGGAAGTATTTGTATAAAAGAAACTTTAATCACAGCCTTAAAATATAATGACTTGATCGATTTACATTTCACTCTAGAGGTATTTTATGGGACAAGCAGTGAAATTATATAAAAAAATGGCAAATGAATATAAAATAAAAAGGCAACTAGAATCAAGTGGATGGTGAAAAAAAATTAAATTTCAAAATAACTAAGCTGACAATAATAATAGAAGCTTATACATATACACAGATTACATATACAACCATTATGTAAATACAAATAACACAAAAGGGGTAAATAATATAGACAAAAAATAATACTTAGGACAAACTCTACTCTGGAAAAACAACCCTTTATGCAAATGTACACATACTATAAATGTAGAAATTTACAGGTTTATATTAAATGAACCCTTGAAAAAACATCAAATGTGCAACTTTGCAATACATTGTTAATAACATGTGACAATCTGTAAATCTGGAAAATCTGGTACTTACAGATAATCAGGGAAAAAAACATCATTATATGGCGAGATAAAACCTATTTGTGTTTTTCAAATTTACAGTACATGTACAATTCCATATAACGGTATATAAATACAGATTTAGTAGCTACTGTTACAACATAACATTGCACTTTAAGCTGGGTCATAAGTCTTCAAAGGTCTTTATCATTCACATACATACAGCCAATGAAAACATTTCATCTAAAAGTTTTCAATCATTTCATTCTAATACTTTTGAATCACTACTGTTCTCTATATAGAGTTACTTATAAATATATACATACAAAATAGTAGACTTTCATTTCAAATAAATAGTACTTTTTAGAGAGAATCTCTGACCTTCTTACATTGTATACATGTACATCTATACATCTTATTCATTGTAACAATTTTTTAAAACAGAGAGGAATGTTCTTTTATGTTGTAAACCTGTTTTATCTTTAAAAAAAAATTCTGTAACATTGATGCAATTTATCATTATTTTCATATTATTTCTTATGATCTTCAGAATTTAATTTATAGCAGATTTGATTTTCAAAAACATGTACCTCTTTTGTCAAAATTACCATAATCCTTTTTTCTTTTCTGTGTGTTCGTCATGTTTAAAGATGATTTGTTTGCATGAAAAATGAATTTACATTAATATTTCCCAACCAGTCATTAGAAAGATTTTGTGACAAAACCCTTTCTCAAGACTTTTTTTGGGGCCATGGCAATAGATAAATGTCAATATGACATCACACTTGTAATAAACATTCAAAATATATAAAGTTTTCATCTTGCATTCAGTCTTTCATCTTCTAACCACATAGAAGCAGGGGTTCAAGAGGTCTAGCTATCGCATTAGTTATCTGTAATTAAAAAGATGTAATTAAAAAGGAATGTAACAACAATACCATGATACATGTATCATTTGATATGACATTTATTACAATATAGTAGTTAGTTACAATACAATGTATTACAATATTTTTTCATTGCAATTATTAGGCTCTATGCCAAGAAGAACTCACATTTGTACAGTAGTTTAAAAAGTCAGATACTGTATTAATTAAATATTTGTGTTATATTAACATCATATGCCAAAAAAACAAACAAACAAGATGTGTTTGTGAAACCCTGATGCCCCCATGTGGCAACTTATAGCGAAGGTTAAACTTTCTCAAATGCAAATCAAATATGTTGGTACCCAAAGTAAGGTCTTGTCCAGAGGAATATACCTGTGAAATATGAATGCCCCAGCAGCAACCATTGAATAGATATGGAGAAGGTTAAAGTTTTTCAAAAGTAAGTCAAACATCAAGGTCAAGGTCAAAGGGTCAAAATTAATGGTGCCCAAGGAAAGGCCTCATAAGAAATAAAAAACATGAAAAATATGAAAGCCCTAGCACCAACCGTTCAAAACTTATGGCCAAGGTTAAAGTTTTTCAAAAGTAGGTCAAACTCCAAGGTCAAGGTCAAAGGGTCAAAGTTGTTGGTATCCACAGGAAGGCCTTGTCACAAGGATTACACATGTGAAGTATGAGAGCCCTAGCACCAACTGTTCAAAAGTTATGGCCAAGGTCAAAGTTGGCTAAAATTTTGTAAAACTGGGTCAAGTCCCAAGGTCAAGGTCAAATATGCTGGTACCCAAAAAAAGGTCTGGTCACAAGGAATACACATGTGAAATATGAAAGCTATAGCTCCAACCAATCAAAAGTTATCAGCAATGTGTTTTGCGGACAAACAGACAGACAGACAGACGGATGGACAGGGCAAAAACTATATACATGTACCACCGATTCTTCTATACGGGGACATAAAAACTTCTTGGGTAAAGTGAATGTAACAGCTTATTTAATTTAATGTCTTTTAACTACATGCATTATTATAATCATTAATAAATTCAACATTGGACATGGTGTGTATCAATATGTGTATCAAACTATATCTATTTAGATAAGTTAAAGGACTGGAATAATGTCCAATCTCAAATATACTTCCTTTGCAATAGGCTGAAGCTCTGATACACTACAGATTTCTCTTTAGGCTATCACACATTATTGTGCTTGATTCCTTATCTAACAGAAGATTGTGCAAATAGCAAAAGGAAGAAACAACTACATGTATTTTTTGAAAGGTATGTTATCAAAATTCTTATAAACATGTACAAATGGTGCAAAAGTAGTAACAATTTAGATGAAAATACACATAGCACTAACAAGCTCACACAACACAGATGTGCTTATAGTTACTACATATGAAGTGTTTCTGATGACCTACTTTCATTTTGTCCTGTAAGTAAGACAGGTTTACTTTGAATTACCTTGAACTTTGTTCTTTTTTTTTTTTATTCTAATGCACTTTTAAATACCTAGCACTTTATTCTTCAAATAAATTGTGTGCATTCTTAACACTTTTCTAAACCAATGCCACTTTAAGAGATATTAAATGTCTTGTTCTTTGATAGTGAGAACTGCAAGTGTAGTTCAGCAATAATATAACTACAGTGGTACATACCTTCAGTAAAGGCAGCATCTGCTATGACCAGCTGGAATACTTTGGGATAGAGATGCTCCTTGTCTTTACCCAGGATTTTCGTGACCAATTTGGCCCCCTCCTCTATGTTCTCATCCTCATCCTCCTGAAGGGCCTGATAAATATGCCATAATAATTTTTACTGAAAAACATGCTTATAAGGAATTAATGCTTATAGTGGAGTGATTTCATTCCCTGTGGTTTAAAAAAAGTATTGTGAACTTACCAAATATAACGAATTACGTTCATAATGAAGCAAAATCATCTGTCCCTGGCACTTTGTTATAAAAATGTTTCACTAATTTTTAAATCATAGGGATTGATTGATTGCAACAATAGCAAACATAATACCCCATGTTTGATTGCTTTAATTTCTATAAATTCCAAGTAAAGTGTTTATTGCATGCACTTCTACGAATCTGCTGCTACATTAAGTACCCCCCCCCCCCCAAAAAAAAAGCTCAAACATCTTGTCATCTTAGGTGTGTAATGATGTCATTCTCTTAAAGTTATTGAAATAATCTAATCATTTAAAAATGGACAGACCTGTACTGTCTTATAGACTTTGAGGAATTTTTCACATCCTAACTCGGATTCCAGTTCTGCTCGTGATTCTTCTAGTCGGCTAAACAAATCAAAATCATCCTCATCATCCCCAAACTGTGTGTCACGATCACTCTCATCTACAATAAGGTTTCCAATTTAAGTACACACATATAATGCTGTTTTAAATCAAGACATCCATTTATATACAGTAAACAAATTTAAACATGAATAATTATGATTAACTACTGATTACTTCTAGTTAATTGACCTAATGGTAATTGTATAAATTGTATATAGAATGTATCTTGGTTTATTCCGTGTCATAAACTTTTCTGTAAACCTCATAGGCAATGGCAAAAAAAAAAAAAATTGGGCATACTTTATTATTCCTATTCCTTTTACTCTAGAATTTATAGTCAATACAAAGATTAAAACTGACCTGACTGGAACAGATCATCATTATTTCCTGACTGGTCCTCCTCCTCCTCCTCTTTTTCGTCCTCCTCCTTCTCCTCATTATCTCCCTCCTCTTCCTCTCCTGACTTATCCTTTTCCTCATCTCCATCATCTACAGCATAGAAGAAATGTGTATAAATTATGTGCCCCTATACTTGTATATCATAATCTGTTGTCTACCTAAGCCAAGAAAAAATACATGTACCATATATACCTGCCTCTAAGTCAGTCCGCCTATAAGTCGGTTGTTTTTTTTAAGCTTAAATTAGAGGTATTGACCTGCTAAAATACCAATCTTTTTATAACTCGCATATAAGTCAGATGAATAGTTTTGGACCAAAGTTTAACTCCCAAAAAACCGACTTATAGGCGAGTATATACGGTATATGAATTCTTGATGTTATAAATGGTTTTTTTAGTTTAATTTCTCTATTTCTTGGCCTACTCATTGCACAATGTAAATCCAACAATTCCTAGAAATAATAAACCTTCTATTCCCTCTTAAATTTAATTTTTTTTCACCTTGATTGTCATTGTCCTCTTCTCCGGATTCTCTGATGTCATCCTCATTGCTTTCTGTCAGATTCAGTGTAGCTGATGCCCTCTTCTCTTCATCTGAAAAAGGACAGTGGTTGTTTCAGTAAAATTTTATCACAACTCTGCTTTTTCACATATGACAAATAGTGACATCTTAATTACATCACTTAATTAGGTATTTAAGACTATTTGAGTTGTCTGAGGTTCCTGAATCATACATGTACCTGTACTGTACTCTCTGAGGAGCAAACTTTGCATGGTCTCTCTGACACTCATCAAGTCCTCATCATCTTCATCATCACTGAAATTCACCACCAACATTATATACTCAGCAGTGATTACCACATATTGCAAACTTAATGGAGAATAGCAATAGACATCTAAGAAATTTGTTTTGAATTCAATTGGAGCAAAAATATTCATCTGTTTTCAATTTCCCAACATTTGAATGACACCTACCCATCCTCAATGCTGTTGTCCTCATCCTCATTGCCATTTTCTTCCTTCTGAGGAGACTGGTCCTCCAGCTTGAGGGGACTGACTGGCTGATCAGGAGTCTTGTCCTCACTGTCCTCCTCCAAACTGACATTGGCAAGCAGACATTTCACTAACTCCTCCTCCTACAATTCATTCACCAGGTAGGATATCATGTTTATAGGAGCCTTTTAATTTCACAATACCGTATAAGTGGAATTTTTAGCGAGACGCAAATTTAGCGAATTGTTCTTCAAAATCGCGAGAAGTACCGGTAATTTTAGCGAAATATGGTGCATAGAAAGATAACAGTAACCTCTAATGCGAAATAAATAGTTAGTGATATTTAATTTTAGCAAACCTCAACACCCTCACTAAAAATGCCAAAATTAAATCCTCACTCAAATTTCTGCTTATACGGATTGTCCAAACATCTCTGTCATCAATCTATACAAGCTCCATTATGAAGCATATCACAGATAAAATTATAATTGCCAGACTAGCATTAACATATCAATTACCTCTGTCTTTAATTTTTCTAAGTCTAGACTATGTTTTCTGGTTCTTTTGACCATATCCTTACAATCTGCTGTACGTGTCAATTTGGCAAGATCTGGTTCAGAGCAGGTACGCAACATCTGAAAGTCCACCCAAAAAAATTGTACAAGATTCATTCAATCAATGAAGTCTTGATAAAATAATACTGTAGATGTACATTTTTCCACGTGGGATTAATTTACACTAAATGCTCAGTCATAATTTTTTTAAGGAAGAACCTCCCATTCTTGAGTTTTAACGGAGAAAAGAAATGTTAATCAATATCACTATATACAAAATATATATCACAAAATGTCAACATGAATGTGATAGCTACCTGAGCATTTGGAATGTCAAACTGTCCACAAGTGATCCCAAGGATCACACCAGAATTTTGCTTCTTACTACAATAGAAAATCATTTACATAACCATGAAGAGATAAGATGATGTAAGCTGATATTAGCAGGAAATACAGTAAAATTAAATCAGATAGTCATTGTACATAAAATGGAAAATTTCACCTTTTTTGGTTCAATACACCTTCATCCTAAATGAGCAGTTAAATATCAATGGACAATTCAAAATGGAGTGATATACAGTAGCTTTCTTTTGCACTTGGGCAAAAATTACAACGGGTAAAGAATTTTCCATCTAAGGTCAGTTTTCGTGCATTTTACTTTTGAACTTACATCTGTTCTTTTGTTTCTTCTTTCTTTGATGCTTCCTTTTCCATTTTATCTGGTTTATCTTCAGTATCTGGTTTTGTAAACAAGCTTCCAGCTCCCTCAGTTTTAACAGCCTGAGGAACCTTGTCTGAGTCCCCTGCCAAACAAAATATATAAATGACCACGCTGCTAAAAAATTAAAGGACTGAGGTACAGATAACTCAAGAATGTCTGACATGATAGAAACTAAAAAGGTAAAACATTCATGCAGCAAGAACACATGCATATTTACATACACACTGAAAAAGCAACTTAAGAGTGACATTAGAATGGAAATTAATTATCAGTATAAACCTGAAGACAATTTTCCAACAGCAGATTGATATCAAAATGAAATTCAAACAAATCTAGTGTACAATACATGGCAAAATTTGAAACAAATCATTTTTAAAGATTAAAAGATTATTAAATAGTTGTGTAACAGTTATCTCTCTTTGCAGATGGTCCTACTCCTTTAAACATGCCATAATTCTATGACTACTGCAGAGATAATTCTAAAAACACTGAACAATGAAGAAAAAAGGGAACCTATTACAGCTGAACTTCAGTATCTTGAACATCGATATCTTGAACACCACGGATATGTTGTAACATGTAGTGAGTTTGACTTTGTTTTCCAGTACCGGGGTATTTTAACTTCAATCATGTTCAATATCTCTAATCCTTAGAAATCTTTAAGTTTTTTCGTGGTCTTATTGAGTTTGAGATAATGAAGTTTGACTGTACTTTATATTGTAACATTCAGAAAATCTTGTCTAATAACAAAACTAAAAAGCAACTAAAAACTAACCAAACTGCATAGGTGTATCTGGTTTTGGTAAAATGACTGGTTTAGGTAAAACAACCGGTTTGGATGGAAGTGGGGGTTTATCAACACACTTTGTTTGATCTTCACTGAGATTATCAATCTCAGAATTTGATTTTTCAGTGCTCTCTGATTGGTCACTCTCCTCCTTGGCAGTTTTACTCTCTGATTCTTGATTGGATGAATCTGGTTTTTCATCTGTTAATGTGTCACAATTTTACAACATTCATTCACATGCAAAAAAAAAAAAAAAAGTGAATAAAAGGTTTAAGAAAATCACAGTTACTGTACATTCCTGAATATATGTAAGGGATTTATTATCACATTTGTAGGCATACTTTTTTTCTGTGTGGGATTAATTTATGCCATGTAGGCAGTCCAAAATTTTGCCAGGAAAATTGTCACAATGTACTTAAAGTCCATTAAAGCATAGAGTTGCAATCCAAAAAATCAGCTTAATTTTCTACCCATGGATTAAACAGAAATTGTTATTCTTCAGAAATATGACCCCATAGAAAAAAGTATGTTTATAGTAATTCCATGAGAAAAACCTCTCACTAAATATTTTTTTTTTAATTGCAGACATACATGTAAAAACACTTGATCAACAGTCAAGTTGCAAATTTAAGTTCTCATGACGTCTACTAGTCATTTTGCAATATTAAGTACTCACTTAATATAAGGAATCTACAGTAATTGAAATATATTATTCCATCACCCAAGGTAGCTGCAAGTTTTCTGCCCTAGCCCTAATTGCATCTATTAATGATAAATTTGTAGACTAGTTTTTAAACTGTTTGTTATAAAGAATTTACCCATTAAATCTTTTGTTGTATTTTAAGCATTTCAAACAAAGATAATTTATTTACTTTATTCTTCCACATACTGTCTTGAGTACATGCAGGTAATGATTTCATTTACAACATACTTGTATAAGCACCATTCCCAAAACAGAAAATGATTGTTTCCCTTGCCATTGTTTTTTTTCAGATAACCCATCACCTCTAAATTTAAATAAAGTCTGTAATTTCATCCTCTATTAGTTATAACCATCACACTTTTGAGTATAAATTACCTGAGCTGGGCACTACTTGTCCCTTTACAATCACCGGTTTATCAACAGTTATGGTAGCTCCTATAGCTGTCCCTTCTAATCAAAAATTAACAAGTTTTCTGTGTTAAAATCAAGCTAACAGAAACTGTTAATAAGTGAGGAAAATTACGGCGGTGAAGATAGAATAGACTCTAACTTTAAAGAAATGAATATTGATACAACATGGAAATCTGAGAATTGAATTCTGTGTAGCACTACATTGAGAAGATAATCAAGAAGTGTGCAGTATATGTTACAATGTCAACACAGAAGAGTGCTGGGTGAGTAGTGTACTTACCTTTTGGGGGGCCCTGCTTACTGATGGTGATGGTACCTGGTTTGATGGGGATCACTGGGGGTTTAGATAGAGTGATGGTGGCAGACCCAGAGGGTGCAGCAGAAGTGGTGGCCTCTGGACTGGGGGCAGACTCTGTTGATTACAAAGTAAACAGATTCAAACTGACTTTTGATGATAAATTTTTACTCAAGGATAATAATCAAATAATATTATAATAATAAAAAAGAAAGAAATTTTAAAAAAGAAAAGAAAAAACATTGTCATCAAATACATACATTGAAAACAATGTCCATAGTGATCGCAAATTGTATACTTGACCTTGACCTCTTAAAATGACCTTGACTTGATACTGAACTTTCATCTTATTCTTAATCAAAAGGAGCATCTATTGAATAATCTCATTTCATAATAGTTATGATTTAAGAACAAAAATAAATAAATTACCGCTTGATCCCCCTGAAAGTGTTCCAGCCACCACAGGTTTGTTTTCTAGAGCATTAAGTAATGTGTTGCTTGGTCCACCCCATTTCTTTTTCTCTGGGATCTTTGGCTTGCCTTTGGGATCCTCAGCCACAACTTCTTCCCCTGGCCTACCCTCCAGAATTTGCATCAAAGTATTACTGGGGCCTCCCCATTTCTTCTCTGGTGGTTGTGGTTTGGAATCTCCACCCTCAGAAATGGGATGCTTTACAACTTGATCTCTGGCAGATGTAGCTATAAATAAAATTTAGATCTTCAGACTTATTTTCCTCATTGCAATAAAATAATTAAGTCTTTCAATGGTGAAATTATATTTCCAAAGAGATACATGTACTTTACAGATCCACTGAATGAAATTTTGGTGACATTTTGGTGTGTTGAGTCTCTTTAAATAATACCTTTTACAAAAGGACAAGTACAATGAATGAAGCGATAAATTAAAATCTGAATCTAGGACCTATTGAGGAAAACATATGTTCCCATGCTAAGGTGAAAAAAAATCTTTTTGTGCAGACCTAACCCCCTTTGGCTATATAGAAGTAAATAACTTTAAGACAAACCCTCCATCTGAGATGCCGTCTGCTCCAGCGGTAAGTTGGAGATGTTGGCGCCATCACCTTGACCCCATTGTGACCTGGCAGACTCCGGTGGTGACTTTTCTTCAGCTATTTCTGGCTTTTCTGGTTTTCCCCATTTACCTTTGGGTGGTCCCTGATTAATATTTTAAAAATGTATGCTCTGTCTCGTACACACAATAAAAAAATATTATTATTTCTAAAAAACACTGATAAGATTTATTTTACCTTTTCATTTAGGCGTTTTAAAATATCATCTTTCTTCTGCTGATCTGGGGTTCTACAATACAAGCAAAGAACATGAAGTACATACAACCAAATAATACTAATCATTATTTCTCACTATAAAATGTATAAAGTTAATTTTTTTTGTTGCACTAATTTGTCTTGATCTTTGTCCTCTGGTTCCCATGCAAATGAATACTGTATATGCAGCCAAATAAAGTCCATTTTGCTATGTAAAATTTATCCAAAACATGTCTTATTTACTTTTGAACTTCTTCTTTGTTGTCAGTTTGCTTAGCTCCTATGGCACTGAGAACACTTGTCATCCCTGCAGGACTGGTGGGTTCCATGGGAATTGGTTTGGGAGGTTCCGCTCCAATGGCATTGAGGACACCGGTCACAGAGACAGCAGGTGCTGGGGCAATCTGAGGCTTTGGGGGCATGGGCAGTGGCCTGAAAGAAATAAACTATCAATATCTGTATATAATCTGTTCCTTCAGTCTTGAATAAAGAGTTTCACAGATGTTAGTCAAAATTTAATAAAGAGTCAATACAGTACAAATGTGTACAAGCACAATGTACAAGTACTTTTCAAATCAATCTCTTAGACACACAAGATACATTTGAAAAAGAAAAAAAAACAGTGAACTTATCTATAGCAAAACTGAATAGAAATGCTTAAGTGCAGTGAAGTAAATTAAGGCAAAAAGAATTCCAGTCAGATATAACACTTGTGACTTTTTAGGAGACATATACATGTAAATGGTCCACTACTATAGTATACATGCATAAATCATTGTATTTTGCTGGCCAAAAAAAAAAAGAAAATTTAACAAAACTCCAACTCTTCCTACCTTCCTGGTCTTGCTTGAACCTACAGAGAAAATAAAGACTGCAGTTGTTTTTTATCTTTCAAGTTCTAATTATCATACAAAAATTGTGTTTTATCTGTTGACTTCAACATCAGGAGAGTAAAAACATGGAAAATCACAGGCTCCTTAAAGCAAGGCATATAAGGAGCTCATGTTTCACTAGTTTTCATCATTTTGAAGCACAAAATTTTTGTTCACAAATTTGCATTTGGACTCATTTAGTTAAAGAATGAATCAATTATTGTATGAAACATTGTTCAGAATATTTTGTTATTTGTTTATCAGAAGATTTTGGACTACTTACTGGTGGCTTGCCAAGTTCTCTTAAACGTTTCTCCTTTTCAAACAACTCTTTTCTGTCTTTATCCAACTGTTCCCTCAACATCCTTGCCCTGTCGTCTGCTTGTTGCTATTCAAACAAAAATTTGAATAAATCTATTAATCCTAATCAATCAAACATTTAATTTTCACATTATTATTGATTAATCCCTTCATCTTAACATTATTATGGATCAATCTTTTCCTAGATTTTCATTAACTTTTGTAGAACTCCTTATTTTTATGGAGTCAAATTTTTATGGTTGGAGGGAAAAAAATTGATGTAGGGGATTTGATTTTGTGGCTGAAAAAGAATTGTAGACAAACATGATACTTCAGTTTGAAATTTAAACATTTCCTGGAGGACATGAATTTGTGGGTCTCTTCGTACCACAGAAACAGCAAAAACTTGAACCCCACAAAAATCAGTGATTCCACAGTATATAATTTTTATAAATTTCAATGACTATTACCCTGAGAGCCTCTATCTTTTGTCTTCGTAGTTCAGCATCCTTCTTGGCTTGTTCCTGAGCTTCCTATATAAGACATGATAAGTAAAATATCAAGGATGAACATTCTTCACATAACTAACAAAACAGCTACAATATAGGAGGATTTTTTAGTGGGGTGCTAACTTTGGCTTATTTTAGCAGTTTTGTTGTAGCCTGCTTACTCTGATCAGTCTGTAGTTTAACAATGTACCTCTCTGAATTTTTGCATAAATTGGTATTCAGACAAATTGTAGACTCATCTGGAATATATTCATGTATATTCTGTTAAGCAGTACCAGATTATATTTCTGGTTTTCAACTTTAAGGAACCCTGTGTCCAGGGAAATCAAAATGCCAAATTTTACACTCGCTAGAGAAACCTGCTATATAGTATATGGTTAATAAATCATAATTAATCAACCATATTATGCTTTGTATTTACTAGGGATGGCAATTTGTAACCAGTTAACTGATTACTCGGTCAAAACGATGGCAATCGATTAGAAAATCTGTAATCGGTTAATCAGAAAAACTAAAATATTTGTTAAATTGAACACATTTTTTAAAAATTTATTTTTAAAAAAGAAATCCCTGCACAAAGGATGATCATTTAGGATTTAAAGGATCTAATTTGGACATACATGTAATTATGAATCTCCAGACTGAGACCGTTACGTAATTGGTCAGTTTATGTAGTGTTAATTACTGTGAAAACACCATGTCGTTACCCGACTGTCTTGTAATTCTTTGAAAATAATTGAATCATTGAGCACTGTGAATTGGTGTGTTTGTCGTTTTCGGTTTTCAATCCAATTTAATTATTAAACACTGTAAATTAAGGGCTAGAGTTCACATGTAGTTTTGATGTTCATAGTGAAAATGCAGAAAGAACTTTTGTGACATCTGCTCTGGAAAATTATCAAAGATTTCTTAGGCTTTTTTCATGCTTTTCTCAATTTTTTCTTCTCTACTGAAATTTAAATAAAAAATATGTACCCATATTTTTCTGATTCAGAATCAAGACTAATGGAATATTTTAACTTCTATCGTCTTATTTGGGTCTATTTGTTTATATGGACAGAGCTACTTGAAACAATTGTCAAGAAAACGTGCATTTTGATATGATTAACCGGTTATTCGGTCGGAAAGTCTTGCAGTTAACCGATTAGCAATTTTGTAATCCATTGCCATCCCAAGTATTTACATGCTGATATATTGATTGCAATTAAAATAATTTGCTAGTTTCTGTGTTTTTTTTTTTTCTTCAATTTTTGTGGTTCAATCAAAACTGCAAAAATAATCAAATGTCCTTTAATAAGCAATTTTACGAAAATTACTAAAAACATTTAAAATTTTAAATAATATTGCACAAAATATGTAAAATGTTAAATGCTATTGCTAAAGAATCAAAGGACAAAAAATCTGAAACCTCATAAATCATTTGTTGTACCAGATAAATGTTTTCTTGCTTCTTACCTCATTTTTATTTCTACCCATAACATTTCGTCTCTCCTGATAATTGTGCTCTCGGATCTGTCGTAACTTCTCTAAATACTCCTAAAATTGAAAATTTCTTCATGAATGCAGTCAACAAACAATAGAAGTTTATTAAAATAACATATGAAACAGTAAATCAGCCTTGTATTAAATTTGCCAAAAGCTGCATTTGCTTTTTTCTTTCATACATTTTTTGGAACATGAATGTATTTGAAAAATTTTACATCTGTTTAGAATACCTGTTCCTCTCTGTTCCGGGCAGATCCTGGTCGTTGATCGTTGTATGCTGGATTTTGCTGGGGTGTTGGGTCGTAGGATCTAGCATTCTGGTTATGGAATTAAAAATAATGTGTAAAAGTGAGTAATATAATAAACTTGAGATTAACTAGATCTGCATGTATGGAAATAATACCTTCCACAGCAACAAAAGCAAAACATTTCTAACATAGAAAAAAGATTCCAAATCATGGAATTTGCACCATATGAATTATGTGATGATCTGGGAAACAGCTTATTCCTTCTGCTGCTACAACAAATATCAAAGTACAGAGATGGATGCATACACGTCTGTCAAAAAAATTCAAAATGCAACATGCAAGTTTGCTTTGGATAGTATATATGATCATGCTTTGACACTGTTTTTAACCAGTGACAATTATGAAGCAAATATGTTTGCTTGTCAGTCTACAAACCTTGCATCAACATTACATTTTTTGCATATAAGGTTTGGATAAATCATATACTAAGCTTAAAAGAGACATAAATGACCTACTTAACAAGAATTAAACAAATCAAACCATAAAATGTAGGCTGGAAGTGGCATTCCGTGCATGCATCAAACCAAGTATCGATAGCTGTAACCTACAGTTTGATTTCAATACCTTTTGTGAGATGCTGGAAAAAGATAATCTTTAGATATGCCATAAAGTGACCCAAACGCTAAGCTTACTTGCATCTCCAGACATGCAACGACTGAAGACAATAAAGAATGATTCCGTACAGTACAGCTCACCCTCCCCTCATTATTTAAATGGTGCCTGTTTTGGAGGGTAACAGTTGAAATTGACACCACAAGGAAAACCACTGTCAACTGACGTGTCAGTGAGGTTGACAATGGTTTTCTGAGGTGTGTCAATTTCAACTTTTACCCTCCAAAACAAGCATCATTTATTTTATTACCGGTATACTTAATGTCTTGTTGATATAGGATGTCAGCAAAAAAAATTCGTCGAACATCTCCCAGCTTCTATTTTTATCACTAAGAAAGCTTTAAAAAAAGATTTACCGACCTCTTTATTGTTTGTTTGATACTCAAAGAGTCCTTTATCATCTAAAGTTTCATTATTTCTACACTCGCAAGCATGTTTTGTCTGTCCTTTGTTGTTTTCATGTAAGCTACATCGGAGGCAAGCTTTTATTGACGTCAAGTTTGTTCAGCTTCTTTCAAAAGCACAACGGACATTTTGAGAATTCTACTGTGAACTGTACATGCATGATTTGCACGCATGAAACATTTTCATTTTATTATACTTTCATGTTAAATAGTAAAATCTGATTGGTTTAGACGCATTTAACAATCCGTAATGTTACCCTCAACGTTAGCAACACACTTGACAACGGGTAACATTACGAGAATATCACATGCGTTCAAATCATGCGCGTACGGTTCACCATAGAATTCTCAAAGCGTCAGTTGTGCGTTTGAAAGAAGCTGAATAAACGACGTCAATAAAAGCTTGCGTCCAATGTAGCTTACTTGAAAACAACAAACGACAGACGAAACATCTTTGCGAGTGCAAACTTTAGATGATAAAGGACTTTTTGAGTAGCAAACAAGCAATAAAGAGGTTGGTAAATCTATTCCGAAGCTTTCTTATTGAGAAAAATAGAAGCGGGGAGTTTGAAAGCTCTTTAAGCGTGAACTCCACGACAATCTCCGAATTTTTTTTATGACATCCAAAATCAATAAGACATTCAGTATAATAAAATACATAGTGCACGTTTTTGAGGGTAACAGTTGAAATTGACACCCCTCGGAAAACCATTGTCAACCTCCGCTGACGCGTCGGTTGACAATGGTTTTCCTTGGGGTGTCAATTTCAACTGTTACCCTCAAAAACGTGCACTATTTATATAGGGTTACCTGTTGTCAAGTGTGTTGCTAATGCTGAGGGTAACATTACTGATTGTTAACTTTGTCTAAACCAATCAGATTTTAGTATTTAACATGACAGTATAATAAACAATTTTATTGCATAGGGAGAGTATAAAAACATATTAGGAGTTTTCCTTAATACAGTTTAGTGTGAATTGTTAGGTAGAAAAATCAATATACATGTATGTGTACAGGTAGTAAATTTGGTCACTTACTCCAAAGATGTCTGCCTGCCCCCTATTTTTATTAAGTGCTGCCTCTTTTCTTCTCTGTACGAAGTCCTGGACAATTTTAGCTCTCTCTTCTGCCTGGTTGTTCATTCCCATATTCCTGTCATTCAATCATTTAAATCAATCAATGTACCTCTACAGTACTAACTTCTTTTAATTTTTTAGTACATGTACATGTATTGTTTCATTTAATATACATGGGCCATGAATTATCATTATAGGCCTGCTAAACTTTCTTATTGAAACTTTCATATAGGCATATTTGTCACATCCATGTTTGTTAAAAGCATGTTTTACAGTGCCATGTTACCTGACCTTAACCCGTCTATTGGGTCAGATCTAGTGGTTGACCAATGCTGGAGTTTTATCCGGTGGTTTATTCATAAGGTGACGTACCTGTTTGGGTTTGGTGGCTGGTAAACTGGGGTGGGTGCTGGAACATTGCCTCCCGGTCGTTTCCAGTTGGGGATCGCCTTAGAGGGATCCACTACTCTTGGTGCGGCCATGTAAGCTGCAGCATTGTTACCTACTAAATCAATGGTATTAAAACTGTACATTTTTATATTTAGCCAGATCTGGATAAATTCAGCTAGGTTTATAAATTAGATACAAATATAATTATCTTGTAAACTATCAGACCATGATTTTAGGAACACTAAAAACAAATCACAGAAAACTGAGGATGAGCGGGTTTAGCTACTTATCATAAAAGACATTTTACATCTTTTCAGATTAGAAAAAAAAATTGAAATTTGTTTACAGTATACACCGGTACCTGGTTTTGGGTTGTTTTGTCTCTGATCTCGGTCATTCTGGAGTTTGTCCAAGTAAGCATGGTACTGGTCATATTTTCCTCTTTCCTTTTCCCCTGCTGGCTGCTGGACAACAAAATGAAAATAATGACAATCTACCAAAAATAAAAACAACTAAAGCATAAATTGCTGGTGTAAAGCTTACATTAGGGGGAGGCCACCTGACTTGTTCCTTGGGCTGCTCCTTGACTTTATTCTTGTCCTTCTGAAGGTAAAAAGATTACCGTATGTACTATTCTTGTTAAAAACCTTGTCTAAGATATTTGGATTTACAAAACATGCATGACTTTGCCTATAAAATTTGTGTTTTATGGTATTCAGATAGCATTCAAGTACAAACATTTAACTTACATCTCCTTCATCAGATCCTACAGAACCCATTAAATTTTTCCAACCCTCCTCTCTGGCTTTGTTCATACGTGCAATCTATAATGTAAATAAAGTTCAGTTGAAATTTGATATCTCGAACATCAATAGCTCGAATACCATGGAAATGTTAAAATGAGTAAAAAGTCCCAACTTCTTTTTCTTTGTGTATCTTAACCTCAACATAGATGGGACATCATAATCTCCATAAGCACTCCAAATGAATGAAAACAGAAGGGATTCCTTGTTATTAAACTTCAAGTTATACATAAAATTCACATACAGGATCTGTACATGCAAATCCTTTGAGAGTTTGATCAATAAAGTGTACATATTTTTTTTCATTTCATTATGTGGTTTATTTTTGACAATGACATACAATCAATGGAGAATATTTGCAGGATATATATGTATACATACATGTACACAAAATTTTTTTGTTAACTAAAATAAAGCAAATTTAGTCATCATAATAAAAACTTACCCTCTGTTTCTCTATTAGATCTTTATGTCGTTTTTCTGCAGCAATCTGTTTTAAAATTCATAATGACATACATGTATTGACAAAACTCAATATTTTGCTTTTTAACTTGTAAAGTGAATTAACTACACTCTTCCTCAAATTCTGGCAACAATTTAAAAAAAAAAATCAGAGTAATCTAAAATGTTCTTTCACCTTTTCTTCTTGCCTTTTCTTTTCTTTATCCAGTAATTCTTGTCTCTTCTTTCTTAAATCCTAATAATAAATAAAATTGTATTATGTTTCATGAATTTGTTTAAAAACAAGAACTCAATGTGAAGACATCTTTTAATAAACAACTGTAGTTTATTAAAGGTCTTAATTTTGCAATGTTTTCCCTCCCTTCCCCACCCCTCAGCTGTTCTGTTTACCTGGTTACTGTTAGATGGCCTTATGCCTTGAGCACTTCCTGGCCTGCTGGCTGCACTTCCTGGCCTGGATGGGCCTCCACTGCCTGGACGCTTCTTATCTGCTGATTGTCTGAAACAATCAAAGTCAATTAATGCAAATTCTCTTTCATGCACATGTACATCTGCAGTAAAATAACACATTCTGAAAACAGAAAAGCCATTGTTTATCTGAACATGAATGATGGAAATTGATTTTTCTACCTTTTTTCTTGTGACTTCCTTACAAGTGGAGCTCCGTACACACTGGCTGGGTTGTACCGGGGAGTTTTGGCTGGAGTTGCTTTCCTCGCTGAGAATAGAAATTGATCAGATATCTCAACAGTATGTACCTTCATACTTCTAAATTAATTACAGGAATGCATGTTTTAGGACTTCAAAGATATTTTACATTGCACTCTAATTTAGACATGCAGCATTGCAATGTAATGCATGTAATAACTACATGTATTATCTTACGTGCTGGGGGTTTGGAAGCTTTTGGGGGAGGGGGTAATTCCCTGGCCAGTTTGTGTCCATGCATTACAGTATGACTGAACTCATCAGCAATCACCTGAGATACAATTGCATAAATGTAATAACCAAATATCAAGAGTGACTGTGTTTATTAAAAAACATTCACAGCACTAAAATGCAAGCAAAGATTTTGAAATGTAAATACATTACATGTACACATGAGAATAGGAGGTACAGTTTCTTTCTTTTTTTTTTTTTTTTTTTTTTGAATTTTTGCAACTTACATCTTCTGGGAGGAATTTTGAAACCCTCTTCTGAACAAAAGGCTTCTTTAATACTGAGTTTATAGAGGGTCTCTCCCTAAGCAAAAAATATCAACAGGAATGATTTACACTGATATATAATCTAAGTTATGGATATACATAGAGGATATTCAATGTTTTGTAGTTGGATATGGAATTTATTTCACGAGTGGGACAGGATTTTTGATATTTTCACGAGTGCGAAGCATGAGTGAAAATATTAAAAAGTCCTGTCTCACGAGTGAAATAAATTCCATATCCAACTACAAAACATTGAATTTTCTGTTTATTACATTTTCTTTGATTTTTCCCTTTGCCCATGTCTTTTCTTAACACAGTGTCATAGGGTATGGCATCATAGTTGTAGCAGTTGAGAAGTCATAGCTTGGCAGTTGTGAGATTGAAAACATTGTAACATGGATTTTAGCAACATATTTGGGAAGAAATTAGCAGTTTTAGTCTCTGTTAAGATGGTTTAGTTTCTATCTCAATCTAGTTACATGCCAGAAATTATATTTTACTTATTTTGATATCCTTTCACACTGTGACAAAATATCACTTTGGTATCCTTTCACATTGTGAGAGAATATCACTTTTATTCAATGAATAAATCACAGTATTTCACTGTTGAAAATGTAATAAAGTGTACATATTTATCCATTCTGATTACTGTTCCATTACTATTACTATTTTTTTCCAGAATTGCAAAAACATAACCGTTGTTATATTAAAACATAATATTTTGAATATATATCACTGAAACAGTAGTTGGGTATATGTCAAAACACTGACTATAAAGAATAAGTCACATGCAGTGATAAAGATCAACGAATAACCTTGCACTTATTTTGAAATACTGTATACAGGGAAATTTTTGCCTTCATTTTATTTTTGTCCCTTCTGCCCTCAGCACAAGTGGGAAAATTTCTTAAATAGAAGTTGGTCTTATTGAATTTGAAATGGGGCAAAATTGTTTGCAAGCGAGAAAGGGCAAAAATAACCCTACATACAATAGTGCTTTTAAGTTATATAGTTGTTTTGAATAATGCTTGAAAATAGTAGGATATCAAATATGTAAGAACAGACTAACAGGAAGCATAATAACAAATGATATAGTAAATTAGACATACTTTGGAGCCCTTTTAAACAGCTGAGCAATAAGTCCTCGGAGATCATAGCTGTACTTCGGAGATATTGGTGGGTATGACCCTCTGAAAGTAATAAAACATAAATGTATTCTATAAATACCATTTTCACCTTTTAAAGCAAACTAGAACTGTCCAAAAGGGACAAATACCCCCCGCTGGGTTTTTCAGAGGTGCCAAATCACTAATATTTTATGGATCTAAGAGGTGTTCACAATTTTCTTATAAACATTTAGAGTGAAAAATAATTGCTCATTATATTTTTTTTAATGAATGAAACCAAAAAAGAACAACCTAATAAAACATCAATACCAATACATTGTAATGACATTGTTTTTTTAATACATTGAAAAAATAAATTGCAACTATCTGTCATCTTTTTGAGACATGACACTCTGCAAATTGATTGTTGAAAAAAAAATCAATTAATAACAAAATCAAATTAATCTTGATAACTTTATATCAAATTCATTTTAAGAATAAAAGGCTGGTCATCCAGTAACTATGTACTATGACAGACAATAAATTACAATTAAGAGAATTAAAGAACAGAGATCTTCAAATTCCCAAGAGATATAGATAACACCTGCTTGATCAGATATGCTCTAACAGCTTCCCACTCTGAACTCATTATTAATCTTTAACTGGATGCATGTCCACTCATTACTCCCAACGGACAAATGGATTTACACTATCTGCTGTGTAATGTAAAAATTGTTTTTTAATACTTGGTGATTTTTTTTTTGTTTTAATGAATAGTTTTATGCTGTAGTTCACATTTTTGTACAGATGTTCTAGATTCTATGTCTCAAACCTTAGAAATAAACCCAAAACGACTAAGACAATAAAAATGAAAAAAAAAAACCTGTAAAATGCAGAAAAATTATCAGATAATGTTGAAAATACCAGGTGCACATCTTCATATGGTAAATAATGAGTGTACAAATTTTCATACAATTCTATGAAATAGTCTTTGAGAAAAGGTCAGGACAAAATCACATAATAAAAATGAAAAAAACACCTGTAAAATGCAGAAAAATTATTCAATCATGATGAAAATACCAGGTGCAAACCTTCATATAGTGATTAAAAAGTGTACAAATTTTCAAACAAATCTCTACAATAGTTTCTGAGAAACGCTCTGGACAAAATCTCATCTACAGACAGACAGACGGACAGACAGACGGACATGGTGATTCCAATATACCCCCTAAACTTCGTTTGCGGGGGGTATAAAAATATACAATTGAAATTGAAATTAAGTAAAGATGAAATGTTTCTATCATCCATAACTTTAAATCAGTTCTCTGCTAGATACATTTACATGCAGAAGCAATAACACAACTTTAGAGTGAGCACGCTTAATTCAATATTTGCTTATAACCAAGAATCAGCTGCATAGAAAAAAAATTTGACCATCCCCAAAGAATCCCTAATGTAACCTGAATTATCTCTGCATACTTACCTGATAATCTTTAACACTAAATTTTTCATGTTCCCAGCTTCAAACTGTACAAAATAAAGTCACTCCATCATCTGTTTGTTTGTTTGTTTTTGGATTTGTTCATTAAAAAAAGAACTTCATAATTTTTTTTTAATTCAAAGACAGAATAACAATAAAGTCATTTTTCTTTACAACTGATAGTAGGTATTATTCTCAATTATCATGGACAAAATAGGATGTAACAGTCACAAAAGAGATATTCCTGACAACTGAATATATAATCTGAAATCCAAAACTTACAGCATGCTTTAATGTTGCCATTTCATACAGCACACATCCTAAAGACCATATATCACTGCAAAACAAAATCATTTCAACACTGTTGCTCAGCAACATAACAGCCAATTTTGTGATAAAAATATATTTAGAATATTATAATCTTACAGTTATTTCATCACTTAAGTAAAATTAAGTGTCTCACCTTTTGTTGTTATAAGGCCTGTTTTCCACAATTTCTGGAGACAGGTAGTAAGGTGTTCCTATACATGTTTTGGCTAACTCAACAGTACTGGAGAAAAACATACATGTATGTAGTATCAGATACATCATAGTCAGAAACCTGCATGCATGTATAAGCATTACAACGTTTTCAAAATACTCATAATGCTCATAATAATCATGATTCAATCTTTAGCTGCATGAACTTGACCAATGAAACTCACTCTCTACCATGAAAGAATTAAAATCAAGGCCAATAAATGTACACAATGGAATTAGTTCACAATTAACAGGCCTGTAGGAAGGAATTTCAATTTTTTATTTTGTTTTTCTTGGAAAGGGGGATGGGGGGGGGGGGGGGGGCTAATAGAAAATTTTGATAAACAAAAAGAGGCCACCAGACATTTTTGCATAAATTAGATTTGTTTTCTTATGTATATTTATATACTGGCAAAATAATTCAATTGAAGGGGTACAACTGTAAATTAGCTTTTTTTTTATAGTAAAGTAAATACTGTCACAATTATACCCTCAACCCCCGTCCATTGGTTCCTACGGGACTGGTAAATGTAATGACCTTCAAAATAAACATAATGATTTCCAGTACCTTCCTAGGACTTTGGCTATTCCAAAATCTCCTAACTTTACTGATCCATCAGCTGACAAAAAGATGTTCTGCAAAAGTTGTTTGGAATTATTGAAAAAATTGTACAATTTTTTTCACTGTTTTAAGCAAACTTATGCAAAAACTATAGAAAATTTTTACTTTAAATCTTCAACAAAAGTATAAAGAAATATACTTGTACATTAACTGTATTTGGAATTTAATTTTTTTAACATGCAGACATAAAAAGTTAGATCTTACCTGTGATTTGATGTCTCTGTGTAAGATTTTTCGGTCATGGATGTGTTTTATTGCAAGGCAGATTTGAACAAACCAGTCCATAACCTGCAAAGGAAAAGACAGAAAAATATTAAGCATCTCCAGAAAAGAGTTTATGTACTTGGTGTTTCAAGTGAAATTCAATCAGAATATTTTTTGATACATACCTGTTCCTCTGGAAATAAGATTCCTCTCTGACCATTAATTTTACTATAGAGATCACCTAAATATTGAGAGAAAAAAAATTGTTAAAATTTTCAACGAAATACAGTAAAACTTGTTAAATCCTGATGAATCTGGTTCCATAAAAATTGGACAGATTATGCATAATTTGGGATAAAAGAACATTTTAAACAACTGAATTTAATGAAAGGGACTTAAAGTTTACATCTTAATAGGCAAGATTTCAGAATCCACAATATCCAGATTAAACAAATTTTACTTATAGTAAAAATAATACACAAAATGTATTCTTAATTTGCTTTCATAAAATTCAGTTCTTACCTTTCTCACAGAAGTCCATAACGATGTATAGGCTTCCTATTTCTACAAAAATGCAGAAAATGATACATGTACTGTTAAATCTCCTTGGACTGGCTATGTTAGACAGAACAACTGGCACATTTTTATGCATGTGTATTATAAAAAGAATACCTTCAAAAGACTCCCTGTATGTCACAATGTTAGGGTGATTCAACTGTGCCAGTACTGCAACCTATATAATAACAATGTAAAAATTCTGTGTGATTAAGGGAAGGTCAAAGTAAATGAATATATCTTAATTTTCCTGCATAACAAATTCCTTCTTGATCTGAGTTTGCTAAAACATCTCAAGAGATGTCAGTTGAATATCTATGTTTCTTTAAGTTCATTACAACAAAAACATTTTAACACCAAGCTGAGAAACATTTTTTCAAACAAAAAATCATCTTCTCATAGAAAAAAAAATGCTGTTATGCACATGGTACAAGAAAATGAACTACCACATTTATCTTGTTTAAATTGATTATGTAAACACAAGTTAATTTTGATCATAAACAAAACTTACTTCTTTTTTAGAATCTTGCCTTTCTTTTGGACTCATCTGCAAAAGCATAATATTCAGACATAAACATTTTACTACACTAAAAATATTATAAAATAGTCAGCTTAATGTCACACTTTAAAAAAATTGATTCAAGTTTATGATGACAGTTTAGGGGTTGAAATTTTCCATGAAAACTCACTAGCCCAGGGGCTACTGATCAGTAAAAAAAATTAATAGCCCAAACCTCCAACTAACTAGCCCAACAATTTTTTTTATGCAAAATGAGAAGATAACACAAGTAAAAGTTTCAAACCCTTTGATGACAAATTAAACTAGTTCTCAGTCAGAAGAAACCTGTCTACATACAAAGAAAACAAAAGTAAACTGCATGACAACAATTTTTTTTTTGTCTGCTAGACTAGTCCAATGGACTTTCGTTACATATAAGCTAGCCCAAGTCTTAAAACAGTTAGCCAAATGTCGGGCTACCGTATATTTCAACCCTGCAGTTTATATAATAAATTATAATACTTCTTTTTAAACAAATTTCCTATATAAAGTTAAGAGAGTAAAATGAATATTTTTTTAGTCTGAAAATTTTCAAAGCTATATCCATGCATGGTTTGTGCTATCCACCCCTCAGAAAATTTTCATTTGATTTTTGATACCAATTTTGATTTCCTGCAATATGATTGGTTGCCAACTTCTTCAACACTGAAGAGGTCCACAAAGCTATTAATACCATTGGGTGCAAAATGTGCTAATCCAACCCTCAAAAATTATGACACACATCAGTATAATAAAATGCTTATATCCACTGGCTATGAGTGGAATAGTTTTTTTATCAAACACTTAAAAGTGTCAGGAGAGGAGAAAAATAAGATGGACCAGACCAGGATTTGAATCCAGGCCCCCTGAATCTCCTGTGCTCTACCAACTGAGCTATCTGGCCACTTGCGATTGAACCTGTCTGACCACCCCAACAGGAATTGTTCCCCTATGGAATAGTTTTTTTGCATGTTCCATAAAAGAGCTATCCTACTCACACCCAGTGGATAAGCCTATATGTGCAGCTGTACTTTAACTCACTAAATCTCTGGGCTATCAAAAGTCCAAGACATAAACAGGTCTGGCACAATCTCTTGATTAAGCTATATAGCTTTATTAAGCTATTCAGAATAGCTTGATTTAGCTATTTTATCACACTTTTTTCTCAAATGTGTTATTTTCCAAGTATGCACAAAAAGTCGCACCTTGGTGCAGTGATGATATTCAACCTTGAACTCTTATGAAAATAATGCATGTAAAAATCACTCATCAAATTGCGTCTCCTTAAGAGACTTTGTACTCAAAGTTCTAAAAGTTTTGGGGCTATATAAAGCAATTGATACAGTTACTTCTTCAATGAAATTATAAAGGAGGCCAATTATGCCAATTATGATAATTGATTGGTAATAATTCAGTACAATGAGAGGTAATCATACTTATCTATGCCTCAACGCACACAAGGTAGTGTACAGTTACCCAAACAATGGAAATTCATCTTTTTCTAAGAAGTATTCAAATGCTGCACTGTTAGAACTATCTTTGATTTGGGTTGTTGATTTGATAACCCATATTACATATATGAATAGTCAAATACTTGCGACTTTTTGTGTATTTTGTACAAATAACATTTTTGTGAAAACCTGCATATAAATAGCTTTAACAAGCTATTTTGAATAGCTTAATAAAGCTATATAGCTATTTCAAGCTATATAGCTTATTCAAGAGATTGTGCTGGACCTGATAAAGGAACAAAATATGTCTACCAAGAGCAATATTGAAAATACAGAGACAGCATTGTTACTACCCATTTACCTTTTGTATATTGATTTCTTTAATAACAAATTGATTCCCATCATTCTTTTTTCTGACCAAGATAGCTTTTCCAAATGCACCCTCTCCAATCTTTCTTATTTTGGTATATTTTTCCATTTCTTTCTCTGGTTAGCTCAGAACTATGGCTATCTCTCCTAACAATGATACTTAAATTCGTCGATACGTTGCATATTGGATACAGTGCCACAAAATTAACTGTTCTGAAAACAATATGATATAAAATCGTTCAGCATTGCACTAATTTTGGCGGTGATGGTGCTCAACACTATACAAAAATTCAACGGAAGTTTACAATCTCCATGAAATAACTTTTCAAAACTTATTTACACAAAACGAAAAGATAGAACTTTCATCCCATTTTCCAATTTTATCTTTAAATATTAAAAAGTTTTAAAGTTTGAAACATGAAAAAATCAAATTTTAATTATTAAGCTTTATCATGAAATAAGACGGTAATGACTATTTTCGTTTCGTAAATGTGATAGATCAAAACAAATTATGGCAGCGAACGCAGCAAAGGCACTTCGATTTGGGTCACGATTAAAGGAATTAAGAATTCACTTATGTCAAAAAACACCTGCAAGTCAAGGTGTTAGGTAATGCTCTTTTTTAATATCCTCAGTTCAAGATGAGTGTAGCTTGTGTTCATTACTTAGTGACCTCTGTTTATGCCGATTACCAAACTCCCGAATTTCCTCGCTAATTAGATTAGGAGTGTATTCATGGCGATCCTAATAGTAAGAGTACATTAGAGTTGGCAGGAGATATTTCACAATTAATGACAATTTATTATGTTTTATGTGTGCTTGTGCAACAAGAGAATATACTGTTGGTTTGGGCACACTTAAATTAATATGCTTTATCAGGTCCAGCACAATACCCTGATAAAGGTATATAGCTTGATAAAGCTATATAGCTTTATCAAGGTATTACAAATACCTTGATCAAGATATTTTATGTAATGAAAATACAAAAAAAAAATCCTAAAAAAATAAATACTGAAAGTCGAGTTCTGAGTTGTTCTCAGTAAATTCACTCATGCATGTAAAGTACTTAAACACAAAGAAATCAGTATAAAAGCATGTCGTGTGAGGAGACATTCTTTTATGCTGTCTTTTTATACCTGAGTACTTTTCATGCACGAGTGAACACACTGACCACAACTCATGATTCAACTTTTAAATTTAATTTTTTAGGAATTTTTTTTGTATTTTCATTACATAAAATACCTTGATCAAGGTATTTGTAATACCTTGATAAAGGTATATAGCTTTATCAAGCTATATACCTTTATCGGGGTATTGTGCTGGACCTGTTTATGGTGTGACCGTTTGCAGTTGTATTTACATATATTAATGGGTACCATTTTTAAAAAAAATCTTACCATTACATAGCTGATTTGCATCATTAACCATACTAGACTCAGTTTAGACTGTGAAACCACAAATAGTTGTGAGTACATGGTAGTTATAGCAAGTGCAGAAAGTACATAGTAATTATAGTGATTGCTGTTAGCAGCGCGAAGCACCGCTTACGTAGTGAGCTCTATAGACATATAAATGAAAGAAATTAAGGTTGAAATCTACACATTGTACAAAGAAAAGTTTTGGGGTCCATTTCAAGTGAAAGAAGCTAAACTCCCTATAATCCTTTGCGGTGCATAACAACATGGTGGCTAAGGCGGCCGAGCAACAACTTACTTGAAAAAGATTACAAACAAGCATTCAATTTCCATGACACAAAACTATCCTTTGCATCTTCAGTAAATATACCTTTTTATGTCACGTCATATTTTCGTTACTTACCAGCTTGGGTATTTCCAATTTTGTAGGAAAAATTCAAGAAGTTCAGAGTCTCAGTGCCAATGCATGGGGAGTCTGCAACATTAGAGACCCAATTTCAATTTTGTCACTTATATCTCTTTTTAAAAAAAAGATGAACTTACATATACAATATGCAGTAAATGCAGGCTAAAAGAGTTTACTTAGAAGTGTAAGGTCATAAGCAGAATGCAAAATGACATTTGAGAGGTGTATTACAATATATGAGTTGTATAAAAATGAAAATCCACTCGCCCTAACAGTTTCACTTTTGGACATAATAGTTGCACCTCTGTTATAGAGTCTAAATAGTGCATATTTTTAATCAAAGGCTTTGTTTATTTTTTAAGAATAGATGCACTTAATTTTTTGCATCATTAAACTCTCTGCAGGATAACTGTACTTACTGCTATTTGCCATTATCGCATGGAATCATACAAAAATTTGCTTGATGAATGTGCAGATTTCATTTCAAAATTTCTCTGTTCTTACACTAACATTAGTCAAGAGAGCTCACTGCACTTGTTATTACTGGATACATCAAAAACCTTCTATGCAGTTTAACTCAGATCAGCCTCCTTACACTCTATGTTACATTGTAGGTTAAAGATTGTGTGCACTCAGTCTAGACTGTGAGTTATATGTATTATCATATGTTGGTTGCATTTTCCAAAACATTGCCTAAAAAGTGCATTTTTAAGTCATCTGAATCATTCAGGTGACCTATTAGTGTTTTCATCTGTTGTTATTTGTCATCCATTGGTCTTAAATATTTGATTATGTTCAGCTTCTCCTGTGAACAACTTAACTAGTTTCAACCAATTTTAGTATGTACTGGCAAAACCTATGGATTAAGTGGAGCATTACATATTTTCTAATGGACATTTCCCAGGCAAACTGTTTGTTTGATTGTAAGAAAGAGCTAACCCTGTACATGTACAAAGATTTTGAAATTCATGTCCCCTGATGGCCCGGGATCTAGAATTCAGTCCCCAAGATGGGGCTCAGTAAGTCGTGGATTAAAAACTATTTATACAGTGTATGTTTCAAAATATTATTTATTCCTAAACATATAGCAAGGAAATTTTATATAGGATGGCAATGAATTATTAGCCTTTTACAAAATACACAGAAATCAGGCCCAAGGGTGGGGCTAACTTGATCAAACTTATCTCTCAAGGCCCATTGACCCTGAACCTGAGATTTTTTTTGTTTGTTTTTTTTTTTATACATGTATAATATTGAAGTGAATGGACTCATGACAGTCAACATTTTGGGAAACTGAGATTTGTCAAACATGATTAAAGCAGAAATGGGGACAGGAAGGGCACTGGGGGAAAGGGAGATTACTGTGATACTGTGTATTTATCAAAGCTGTAACAACTAAAGAGCATTGAATTTTGTGTTAAAATTAGAATCAATTGAAACTACAGGATTTTTGAAATATTATACTTATAAGTCTGTTTTATTCTTTATTTCAGAGAGTTCATAGAAAATCAGTATGTGCCCATAAAGCAGAATAATCCTAATTTTCCAATCTTAATACGAGAGTGCAGTGATATTCAGCCACGAGTGTTTGCCAGATATGGTATGTTTTTAGTGCAGAATAACACAGTGTAATTGTTTAGTTATCCTTCTTGTACCCACAGTAAACCTCAGTTATGGAAATCTCGCTTACAAGGAAATCTCGGTTATAAAAAGTTAAGGAATCCCGTAGAAGACATTTCACTACATTCTTTATATGGATATAAAAAATCTCAGTTTTAAGGAAGCAAAATTCGAGGTCACAGTGACTTCCTTTTAACCGAGTTTAACTGTAATTATGTAATCCATATACATCCATATTTACAGTGTAGTTTATATATTCAGTAGATTAGTTATTTTTATCTTATTATGAAAAGAAAATGTACTTGATAGGTTAGAGTGAGAGCTGAAGAACCCTTGGTTAATGTTCAATATGACAGTAGTCTTCCTTGTATAACATTACATGTTATTCTTACTTTACATTTTAGTATAATACAAACAGGATATCACAGCATAAAGAATTAAATTTAAGAAATAACTTTTTAACATTAATTAGTAGTAAATATAAGCTTGAATTTCCATAGCTCATGTTAACAGAATTTATTTGTGAGCACACCTGTTTACAGTGCAGTAAAACAGAATCATTATATATATCAGCAATATTTATTTTACTGTTTTATTTACAGAATTTGGACAAGAGACAAGTTCATCTCTTAGCAACTTGAGCAGTGATGAAGTTATGAAAGTGATTTCAAAAATGGCAACAGCATAAAATGATATGAGTTTTTGATTTGCTTGTATATAAACTTTGTTTAATAAAATATAATCTTAGAATAAAAGTTGTTTTGATTGAGGTGTAAAAAAAAACTTACAAATAATTCTGTGGACTGAAAAATACATTATGGAAATGGGAAATGTAACAAATCCTAAGGGACACAGGTCTATTTATCTCCCTTGAGTGAACAGTCCAAGAGCCAAGAGTGCTTAGAAAATAGGAAAAAAAGAGCCCCTGTTAAATCTTCCTTTTCATAAATTATTTTTGATATACCCAGAAAGGTATGATTTACAATTGTGGATCCATATGAAAAGGGGCAGACCTTGGATTTGAAATGAACTTAATGAAGTATTCAATTTATAATCAGTTCAAACATTTTATTAGGTCAAATTAAATTAACTGAACACTTAATCTGCATGTATTTTCCCCCTCCCATTCAAGTAAGCAACTGTGATTTCTGTTTAACAATGCTGCGTTGTTTTTAGCTCACCTGAGCTGAAAGCTCAAGTGAGCTTTTCTGATCACCCGTTGTCCGTCGTCCGTCCGTCTGTCCATCTGTCCGTCTCTAAACTTTTCACATTTTCAACTTCTTCTCAAGAACCACTGGGCCAATTTTAACCAAACTTGGTACAAAGTATCCTTGGGGGAAGGGGAGTTTAAATTGTTAAAATAAAGGGCCAAGTCCCCTTAGAAGGGGAGATAATCAAGAAAAGACAAAAATAGGGTGGGGTCATAAAAAGATCTTCTTCTCAAGAACCACTGGGCCAGAAAAGCTGAAACTTATATGGAAGCATCCTGGGATAGTGTAGATTCTAAATTGTTAAAATCATGACCCCCGGGGGTAGGGCGGGGCCACAATAGGGAATCCAGGTTTTACATTGAAATATATAGGAAAAATCTTGAAAAATCTTCTTCTCAAGAACCACTGGGCCAGAAAAGCTGAAACTTATATGGAAGCATCCTGGGATAGTGTAGATTCTAAATTGTTAAAATCATGACCCCCGGGGGTAGGGCGGGGCCACAATAGGGAATCCAAGTTTTACATTGAAATATATAGGAGAAATCTTTAAAAATCTTCTTCTCAAGAACCACTGGGCCAGAAAAGCTGAAACTTATGTGGAAGCATCCTGGGGTAGTGTAGATTCTAAATTGTTAAAATCATGACCCCCGGGGGTAGGGCGGGGCCACAATAGGAAATACAAGTTTTACATTGAAATATATAGGAGAAATCTTTAAAAATCTTCTTCTCAAGAACCACTGAGCCAGAAAAACTGAAACTTATGTGAAAGCATCCTTGGGTAGTGTAGATTCTAAATTGTTAAAATCATGACCCCCAGGGGTAGGGCGGGGCCACAATAGGGAATCCAAGTTTTACATTGAAATATATAGGAAAAATCTTGAAAAATCTTCTTCTTAAGAACCACTGAGCCAGAAAAGCTGAAACTTATGTGGAAGCATCCTGGGATAGTGTAGATTCTAAATTGTTAAAATCATGACCCCCGGGGGTAGGGCGGGGCCACAATAGGGAATCCAAGTTTTACATTGAAATATATAGGAAAAATCTTGAAAAATCTTCTTCTCAAGAACCACTGGGCCAGAAAAGCTGAAACTTATGTGGAAGCATCCTGGGGTAGTGTAGATTCTAAATTGTTAAAATCATGACCCCCGGGGGTAGGGCGGGGCCACAATAGGAAATACAAGTTTTACATTGAAATATATAGGAGAAATCTTTAAAAATCTTCTTCTCAAGAACCACTGAGCCAGAAAAACTGAAACTTATGTGGAAGCATCCTTGGGTAGTGTAGATTCTAAATTGTTAAAATCATGACCCCCGGGGGTAGGGCGGGGCCACAATAGGGAATACAAGTTTTACATTGAAATATATAGGCAAGAGCTACTGAGCCAGAAAAGCTGAAACTTATGTGGAAGCATCCTCAAGTAGTGTACACTCTAAATTGTTCAAATCATGACCCCGGGGATGGGGGGGGGGCACAATAGGGAATCCCAAGTTTCACATTGAAATATACAGGAAAAATCTTTAAAAATCTTCTCAAGAACCACTGGACCAGAAAAACTGAAACTTATGTGGAAGCATCCTGGGGTAGTGTAGATTCTAAATTGTTCAAATCATGGCCCCTGGGGGTAGGGCGGGGCCACAATAGGTATTACAATGGGGGAAGTCTGGTAATGAACAGCATGGCCAAAGTTACTCAGGTGAGCGATGTGGCCCATGGGCCTCTTGTTTAACATTATGATTGGTACCCTCTGTCGAAACTGAAATAAACTATAAATTTTACTTTGATACGATATAATTTTCTCGAAATCCCCCAAAAAGATTTTTCATTGGTGTTCTTAAGCTGAAAGCATCATTTTTATCCCACAACTAAAAAGGAAGTGTCAAGATATTTACCAATTTAGTCAGATCATATGACTGGATATACTTATCCCTTTCAACTGAGAATGTGCTTAATATACCAATTTGTCAGATCATTCGGAGGAAATTCTCATTTTTCCCGGATTAAAAATAATATGTTGGGTGTTTATTTGGGCAAATACGCCAATTATTCTATGGCGCAGGTACTTGTTCTTAAATATATATTGAAACAATATATAACAGTTTTTTTTATGGTCAGCCTTTCTTAAATCTCTTTTAACAAACTGGTTTGTTGAGTCCATTGCTTTTAAATTTATATGTTATACATTATCATGATCTGAAGATATTTCTTTAAAAGAATGCAGAGGAATACCTCTCTAGGATAAAGATCAGCTGGTCTGGTAAACGATCTTTAGTAATTGCCCTGTTTTGACTAACAAGCTTTATTTTGAAAAGGTCATCGGAGAAAATAAAAGTGATAAATTCTCAATTCCGTCATAGTAACATCTGTATAGGATAATTATCAGATGATGGGGTAAATTATCTTCAGTAACTATGGTGTTTTTGACTGCTTATAGAAAATGTGGCGCAATTTATCGAGTTCATTTGTGTTAGATAAAAAATAGGTTGATTCTTTTTACAATATTCAACGAAAATATTGATGACACCCTCCCCCTTTCATTACGTTGGTGATTTCAATGTCATGAACCTTCTCGTTTTTTTTTTTTGTAAGAGAGAAAAAGAGAGAGAGAAGGGGGGCTCATATATGGAATCACAAATAGTAAGTGCTAAAACGGTTAATAAAAATTATTTTTTAAAAAAGTTATTCAGATACCTTTGTTCATTGAAAACGGAACAAGAAAATAAGCTCTTAACCCAAAATACACCTGATGTATTACTGAGCGGACACAATACTAGTAGTTTGAAAAAAAGATCTTTACATTTTGGGATTTTTAATAGATTATTACGTTTTGATTTCCTTCTGATTTTAAAGAAAGATGATGCAAGTCTGGCACATTAAAATGTATATTAAAATGCTGCATCTTGAACATGTTTTATCTATTTTATTTAAATAAGAAAAGAAAAAAAAATCACGCACTTCAAATTTGATAGGTTATGAACGACTTCAATGTTCAAGGACACTACACAGATTTCTTGTAAAAAAAAAAAAAAAAAAAAAAAAAAAAAAAAAAAAAAAAAAAAAAAAACTTGATGTATTCAGGGGAAGGAAAGAAATCAATTTGCTTATCAAGCTTGATGTTCACTAATGGGGAGATTCTCCAAAAAGTGTCAAGAAAGACTGAGGATTATTGCGAGAAAATGTCTCTAAAATTGCGAATGAATAATATTTTTTTTTGGCATTGGCAAAATTTCAAAATATAGTATACCTGAACCACGAGGACCAGACAAAACATATATACATGTATATTTCTTGTCCATAATCATACCTATAATCTATACTGTATGAGGTTTAATTATAGAAGTAGCTAAATAATTAGTGCTGGAAACATTTCTTTCTCTTATATTTCAAAAGAATATTTTTCACACAAAAAAGCATGTGGACTTAATATTAATTAAAGAAAGACACTGTGAATGCAACAAATTTATACCAAAATACTGGTCTATTTACCCCCCTTCTTGTGAACAAGTGCAGTACCTCTGCTAGAGTAGGATAGTTACTATTCATGAACTCAAACCACTTTCCTTCTTCAATTTTTAGAAAATAGGAAAAGGAATGTAGATAAATCTTCCCTCTCCTAATTGTTAATTTTGAAACATCAAAAGAAGATGAAGTTGAATAACTCGAAACAATTTCTATCCTGCATTCTGAATAGGAATTAAGTGTCTTTTATTAAAGGATTTTTACCATTTTGTCAGATGATAAGACGTGAAATGCTTAACTTCATTTCTGACTGAAAATAATCTCTCTCTCTCTCTCTCTCTCTCTCTCTCTCTCTCTCTATATTGGGTGCTTATTCGGACAAATACGTTATTCTTCTCGAAGAATTGAAACAAGGCAAGTCATAATATTTTTTCTTCCCATGCCAGTCTTTCCAATCAATTCGCTAAACAAATTGGTTTGACGTGTTTATTGTAGGGATGGCAACGAATATTCGAATATTCATTCGATGAGTTGATATTCGAATATGAATTTAAGATTCGAATATTCGGTGTTTTTCAGATTTCGTAAAAAGAAGTACTGTGATTAATAAATTTTGATTAGAACAGTGCTGGAATTATCCCTGTTTAATTTACTAACGATCAATTTCGATCGCCTGATTTCTTTCACTACTTTCTTATCTTATAGATCTACTAAATTACATGTATTTTGTTTTAAGCAAGGTGTTAATGAATTGTACAATAATGCTTTATGTATAATACAAAACGTACTTTCATAGTTTTTATTAGTTAGATACTATCGGATCTAGAATCAAGGACAACAAAATGAAAACCTTCTTAGAATGTCTAAAAGACGCGAGGAGTATACTTTTCAAAATAAATTTAATTGATCATTGAATGAATGTCCGATAGAATTAGTCTGTATTCAATATTGCTCAATTTCAGCATAAATGTGTAAATTACTTGTCAATGATTATCTCGGGTTGTACATAATTCTAAATTTTATATTCATTATCGGGAAATTAGTTAATTACCTACTAGGAAAATTGTCTATGGAAATATTTGTTTACATTGTATCAAAGATTATAATAATATCTCTTATTAGGCAGATAACTGTAATTCATTACATGTATTGAAATCTGAAAAGTACACCGTTACGACTACATCTCGCCTTTGGTAAGACGACTGGTTCCTCAGTTGGAGCCACTATAAATACACATGTTTCCTTTGTTAAAATTATACTTTTCTACATTGATATCAATTATTTATTTCAAACATTGACAAATATCAAATGGAATTCCTTATTGTACACCTACAAAAGTCTTCATACAATTTTACTTCCAATATAAGTATACCTACGCTAAACCTTTCATGAGAGTAGGATGATGCATTACATAAATTAAACAGATTTTATTTATTTTATCGAATATTCGAATACTTGCATTGAATATTCGAATATGAATTATTGACAAAATTGACATCCCTAGTTTATTGACATTGCTAAACATAAGTATGGGATAATTCAGGAATTTCTTTAAAAAACAAGATGCAAGGGAGCATCTCTGTGGGATAAAATTCAGCGGGTCTAGTAAACGATCTGTAATAACTATCGTGGTTTTGAACAACAACTTTAACTTTGGAAGGGTCACCGAAGGAAATCAAGTGATAAATTCTCAATTCTGCCATAGTCCATAACATCTGTATAAGATAATTATCAGATGATGGGGTAAATGACTTCAGTAACTATGGCGTTTTTGACTGCTCCAGAAAATGTGATACCCCTTATCAATTCAGTTGTTTTCTTCGGCAAAACAGGTTTAAGAATCAAAAATGGTCCCTTATTCAGCGAAGATATTGGTAAGTCCCAATTACTCTTTATGACCTTGGCCATTGTGAATGTCCAACATGTAGCTTCTCATTTCGAGAGAGAGAGAGAGAGAGAGAGAGAGAGAGAGAGATCCTACTTATACAGTGTAATTGCAAAGATGATATCCGTAAGAGACAGGAGTGCTAAAACGGTAAATAGGACTTTTTAATATAGAAAATTTCCTTTCCTTTCAAACCCTTGTACATCAGAGACACGAGTATTCAATAGGAACACGATCTCCTAACCATTAGTTCCTAGAAAAATATTTTTTTTTTACTTGAAATGTACTTTAAAAAGTTTTAGGTAGTTTAAAGCAATATGAGCTGCAACTTTGATGTCAAAAATTTTTGTTGCGAAATTGTAATTAACTATTTCAATGACAGAAAAAGAAGAATGTTTATAAACTTCTGTTGTTCAAATCTGCGATAAAAGAACTATTTATAAGCTTTGATTGAAGCAAAATTACATTATTGTCGTCCTGTACAATATTGATTTCTTATATAATACTATATATTTGATTGTACAGAATCCTTTATTCTGAAACAATTTAATACTTTATTTCTGTCTAATTGATCAAAATGGTTTAAATAACATTCAAATTTATCATAATAACAGATTTTAGCAGCAGAATAAAATTTTCAAAAATGCAGCTCATATTGCTTTAAAACCGTAAATTTTGATATTTTTATCAAATTATTAAGTTTTGTTTTCCTAAAAAGTTAGTTAAACTCAAATAATTATTTATTCTAAAGGCTGCATCTTGGGCACGATTTGTCTATAAATGCATATTGCAAAAAGGAAAGAAAAATGAAAAAACACACACATCAAATCTCATAGGTTATGAACCACTTCAATGTCCAAGGACACTTCATAGATTTCTGTTAAAAAAAAGAAAAAAAAGAAAAACAAACAAACAAACAAACAAAAAAACGAAATCGAAGTATTCAGAGGAAGGAGAGAAATCGATTAATGTATCAAACTTAATATCCAGTAATGGAGAGACTCTTCAAAAAGCGTCAAGAAAAAAAAACTGAGGATTATTGCGAGAAAATGTCTCTAAAATTGATGAATAATGTTTTTGCATGCGGTCCTTGTAATACGTTTCGTTGAAAACTAGAAATTAAGTATACCTGTATCAGGAAGATCAATTATGGCATAAATATATGTATTTTGTAAAAATACTAAAAAATAAAAATAATAATAAATGAATAAATAAAAATTAATGGTCCAGTATCCATAATAATGACTATAATTGATTTAGTTTTTGTATAAGGTTCACTTATTAGAATATGATTGATAATTAGTGTTGGAAAAACTCCTCTTTCATGTATATTTCAAAAGAATGATAGCTTTTGATGCTTACAATATTAAGACACCCACATATCTCATTAAATAAAATTATTCGAAACCGGATTATATTAAAGGATATGGATATTAATGTTAAATATTCGTTTAATCTCCTACATGTATATACCCGAGAACATCGAAGTTACCACGAGAGATTTCAGTTACTACTGTGGAAGGCACACCCTTGCCATATATAATCCTTCAAACTACAAAAGAAGCTGCATTTTCTGCAGTATAATAACAAAAATCGGAGAGAAACACCGGCACAAATAGCCCTAGATGTAGATTATTCAAAGCGTGTTATGGAGCTCTTCTAATATGGATAATCTATACAGTGATGTGCATGCTTCATTCTGCCGAATCCAATGTAGCCATCTGTGACAATTGCCTAAGGATGCATATCTAAATTGTACGATATTGTTATAATTTGGACAGCGATTGTCCACAGCATAATCATGGATTAGAAATCCGTAACTTTGTTCTATAGACATTGGCGGAGAATCGAATATGTACATGAAACACATGGTAATGAAATAATTATTACAGTACACCTATAAACACCGTAGCAGTTAAACTATTCATGCAAGTCACTGAAGGTTCCTAAAGACATTAACCTCGTCGTCGATACTGTCACCTGCAGACTGTTACACAGTTTATTGCCTGTGTGCAGTGAGTTGCTTGTATCGTTTTCTGGAATAATATATACAAATATTGTGATAAATTACCTACTGTTGTTGTCATTCATTTACAGCTTTGTTGATCAGTTTAGTATAAAGTACAAGCAATGATACACAATTGTAAGCACTAAACTAAATTACAAACCACGAGGGACGGAACTTATGGTTACAATAGTACGTGTAAATCAACACAAGGATGTACATGCATGCTTCATAAGAAGTCGGAATAAGCAGGATTTCTTAATTACAAGTGATATTTTTCTTTCTAACAAATCCACATGAATGGATTAAATATGGATGAAAGGACACAGATTTTTCAACTATAAGGAATGGACAACGTTACGGAGACAGCGGCACTTCCAGAAGGGGTCTCTGGCTATCGGCTATACCATGGTTATGTCAGCCTTGTGGTCTGCTCATTGGGAATAGGTCTGAATATCCTTAACGCCTTCATATGGTCCAGAAAATGTATGAGATCATCCACCAACCTCATTCTGACAATGTTAGCCATTACAGACTGCCTGTGCCTCTTTTTTTATTTGATTTACTCCTCCTATCTCTTCATTGCCACGGGACCTAGTCAGCTATTGTATCACCCAAAAGTATGGATGTTCGTTGTGGTGATAACTTTCCATGAATTCATTGCATTTCATACCACATCTAACTGGCTTACCATTTCTCTTGCAATATTTCGTTATATCAAAGTGTGCCATCCAAATGCCGCAAAAGTATGGTGTAATAAGAGAAGAGCAAAGTTGACTGTCGTTATTGTGTTTGTAACAACAGCAATGGCCACCATTCCATTTTATTTTTACTATGAAGTGTACAATGTTTCCGAGGACTATCCCACTCTCACAGGCTATTGGATAAGGAAAACAAACTTTGCCAGAAACAACATTGACTACCAAACAATATTGTTGTGGTTGTATGGTGTTATATTTAAGGTTTGTCCTTCAATTGCAATGATAATCCTCAGCGCTCTGATGATAAGGAAACTACATAAAGCCCAGAAGAGACAGAGGGTATTCACCGTTGGTCGCGAGAGTCACGTGAGCAACCATCGAGGGTACTGTCGCACTACAGTAATGCTCATTGTTATTTTAATGATCTATGTTCTTATGGAACTACCAATTGGGATTTCAGCATTCACTTCCGGTTTACAAGGAGGAGAGAGTCATTTTTTTTACTTTCTTTTGTATTCGGAAGTCGGGGACATTCTTGACATGTTGACATTACTGAATGCTTCTGTTAACTTTGCCGTGTATTTTGCTTTGAGTCATCAATTTAGAACCGTGCTCAAGGGAATAGTTCTTCGAAAATCAGTCTCAGAAGTGCATTTTGGATCCGATTCGACAGAAATGTCCGGATCAAGGACTGCCTCGGTGTATACAGTTCCAGTGATATGGAAATCTATCAAGCAGAAGCTTCATCTTTAGTATCTCATATGGCTTTAATTAATATTAATATATTTATTGCAGATTTGTTTTTTTTTTTCATTTTGTTTGTAGGTTTTGATCTCGAAGAGAGATATTCTAAAATGAAAAAGGTGAAGATAACGAACAGTGATAATAAGCAAAACTTGCTCATTTGTTCGACTTTTTGCTTATTGTTTTCTTTTTTGTTTGCTTTGTTTTGTTTCTTCGTATTCTGTTTTTTCCTTGATTTTTTTTGTTCGTTTATTTGTTTCTTTTTTTTCTTTTTCTTGTTTTCTTGTTTGCTTATTTTGTTTTTTGTAATTTTTTCCTTTTGTTTGCAAGTTTTGATCTCGAAAAAAAGGTGTATTCTATAAATTTGAAATTATTTTAACATCAAGCTCCTTTTGTTCATGGCTAAAACAAAAAAAAAAGATACATCCTCTAAAAGGGAGGAATATATTGTTTTTGGTTTTTGTTTTGTCGTGGTTGTCTGTCACAAGATTTGGTTCGAGACAACGGGCCATCATATGAATGGATTCAAACTTAACGAAAATAATGAAGTCTGCAAATTATTTAAGCAGCAATTATTCCGGAGATAATTGGAGAAGGAGGAGGAGAAAAAATAAAGTTAACATTACTTTAGTATTTTAAAGCAGAAATCTTCGGAGATGATACATATATGTCTTGTCTTGTCTTTGAATGCTGTCTCTGTGCCTGTCTACCCTTTAAGCCACAGATTTATCCTTGCTTTGATTTAACGTTTTTGACTTGTACGAATTAAATACTCAAATATGTTGGTTCTAAAGACCTAAATGAATGTCGTTTGTAGGTATGTAATATTCTTCACAAAAGATCGTCTTTCCGTGTACATGTATGTTGTCAAAATGTAATGAGAAACTGTATACAGGGTTATTTTCGCCCCGTGTTATTTCGCACTTGCAAACAATTTTGCCCCATTTTAATTTCGCCCCAGTCACAGTTCTATTTATGAAATTATACTGTGTTCTTTGAATTCGCCACGTTTTAAATTCGCCCGCGCATCCGTGAGTAGGGCGAAAGAGGCGAAAATAAAACGGGGGCGAAAATTTCCCTGTATACAGTATGTTTAATATAGATATGTAAATGCAACTTTCACAAAATTTGTTCGAGCTATAACCATTAAATCATTAAAGCCAATGATGTGTCATTTTCTAACCAAAGGTCATATCTCGAAGTGCTAGATAAGGGAAAGAAAATTCTGCATTTGAGCTCCTTTCTATGTATCTTAAGCGTAATGAAGCATGTTTACACATAAACCCAGGGATGAGGCCGTAAAAAGAATTCAGAGCTTTACTAAGGAACGTCTGGGAAAATTGTGTTGAAAATCTCTGAAGATTAGTATAAAATGTCAGTTTGTTTAATTTTGATAAATAAGTATCCCAGAGTAGTGTACATTCAAAATAAAAATCTTGAAACAACAATTTTGTCCATTTTTTTCTTTACACAGGTTATCTGTGTAAACATTTTCTTAGATTTTTTTTCGAACTGAGAAGCTACATTTTCTGAAATTCACATATAAACATCCCTTTTGGATGAAGAGATAAATTAGTCAAATCGTTGGGCCCGAGACAAGATGGAGCAAGAAAAGGTTTATCTCTGAAAACCACCAACATCAACTTTTTTTTTTTTTTTTTTTTTTTTTTTTTTTTGGATAGGCAGGGACTTGGTCAGCTGTTGTCGTCAAAACTTTCTATGAATGTTTTACCCTGACACATCAAATTGCATGTAACAATATTTTGGCGTAAAACTTTAAGAACTGCATGCGGCCCATTTTTATTTGCATTATTATAGTGAACAGTTTGTTGTTAATTGCTATGCATTCATCACTACTGAGAAAGATTCATTTTCCTCCATGTGCTGATTTATTACTGCATAAACTCTTCTAAAATTTACTTTGTTTTCAATTCGATTTCTCTTTATGACGTTTAATGTATTTTCTGTGTATATTGATAGAAATAATCAGATAAAATTGTCAAAACCTGTATTATAACTGTTATAAATGTCGCTCTTGATTCTCTCTCGGTAATTTACACAAATAGTTCCTGTCCGAATGCCCATTTAAGCCTAACGTACGTTGAATTTAATCATCGATAAAGCACAGAATCATTTAGATGTAATCGTTAATGATTAAAAGCAAATTGTTTTATTGAAAGCTTTTGCAATAGCCTTTCATTGCAAGTTAAGAGCATCCATTTGATTTCATATCCGCATTTGCATACTATAACGCATCTTTGCTAACCAAGGGTTTCTTATCCGCTACTCAGAAACGGTTTGTGAGGTGAGTATCGGATCAGAAACCCTTGGCTAGCGAAGATGACTATAACGACACATCAATGATTTGAAAATAATTTGAATGCATAGATTTTTCAACGAATCACAGGCCCGTAGGAAGAAATTTCACTTTGAGGGGGCACAACCATACATTTTCAGTTGAAGGGGCACAATCAACTACCAAAATTCCCTGACAAGCCAAAAAAAAGGTCATCAGACGTGATTATTGAGGGGGCACAAGCATATAGCAGCTATGTTTTCTATAGTATTCTATATATCGGCAAAATTATTGGGGGGGGGGGGGCACGGCCCCCATGCCCCCCCCCCGGTTCCTACGGCCATGAATCAGGTGCGGACACAGGAATTTTTTTTCGGAGGGGGGGGGGGTTACTTCAACTCTAACAAATGTCAGACTCGGAAATTTTTTGACAAGCAAAATAAAAACAAACTGACCAAAAAAAACCAAACAAACAAAAACAACTTGCCCAATCTGAAAAACCTATTTCGTACAAATGGACAAGTATACAAAACAAAAGGAATATTATATAATACATATGAGAAAATATACAAATCAAATGGAAAATTATACAATACAAATTGAAAATATACAATACAAATAAAAAATATACAATACAAATGGAAAATTATGCAATACAAATGGAAAATTATAGAATACAAATTAAAATTATACAAAACAATTTTAAAAAATATACAATTCAAATGGAAAATTATACAATACAAATAAAATAATATACAATACAAATAAAAAAAATATGCAATACAAATGAAGAATTATAGAATACAAATGGAAAATTACAATACAAATAAAAAATATACTATACAAATTAAAAATATGCAATACAAATGGAATATTATGCAATACAAATTGAAAATTATGCAATAAAAATGGAAAAGTATACAATACAAATGAAATATTATATAATACAAATTTTAAAAAAAAATATACAATACAAATGGAGAATTATAGAATATAAATGGAAAATTCAAGAATACCAATAAAAAATTTACAATAAAAATAAAAAATTATACAATACAAATAAAAAATATACTATACAAATTAAAAATATGCAATACAAATGGAAAATTATGCAATACAAATTGAAAATTATGCAATAAAAATGGAAAAGTATACAATACAAATGAAATATTATACAATACAAATTAAAAAAAATATACAATACAAATGGAGAATTATAGAATATAAATGGAAAATTCAAGAATACCAATAAAAAATTTACAATAAAAATGAAAAATTTTAGAATACAAATAAAAATTTTACGATGCATATGAAAAATTATAGATTACAAAAGGAAAATTATACAGTACAAATGGAAAAGATCGAATATTGCAACATTTGACATGCCATAAAATGGTACACTCTGGCTATTTATATATTTTTTGCATATAATATTTATACTTTAAAGCTCGCCTTTTAAGACTGGTCTTACTTACGTACAAAGGTCGTTCAATAAATAATACAACATACGGTTTATCAAACTAAATATAAGAACAGTTGAATTTATCTTATCACATTCTAAGATTATACACCTGCGCAGCCAAGGGAAATAGTTCCCATCGAGGGGGACAATAAACTTGCTATTGTTCGAATATTCAGTAAATAGGTGATTTATTATATCGAAGAAGACTTTACTTGTGTAACGTCACGATCTGGATAAAACTAGAAGAGTTCCGAGATGAAACGCGAGGGAAATGGAATGCTGCTGGTGAATAGTTCTATGACTATTTCACCATGGCCAAACAGCACAAAAACTATTCCAGCGTGGGGGCTGTGGGTATGATCATTGTAAATGTTATTGTTTTTGGATTTTATATCCATTAAAAGCGCATATCAGTCAAATCATATATATTCCAATGCATTTCTTGCGCAGATATTTGACACTAAATTGATACATAGCGTGATTCATAAAGTGTTATATGGGAGTGTTCGATATGTCATCTCGATAAGACACGACAAATAACTGTTCGAACGCCTTTGTGAACTTTGAACGCATACATGTACGATTTTTAAGCTCAGTGTTGACAGTATTAAGGCCTAATTTACCGAAGAATTTAATGTCATTAACTATAATAATTGAAACGAATTGCTTGAAAGCCTTTGCATGAACCCATATATCAATCATTTAGAACGCTTCATTTGCCATTTGTTTCTCATTTCTCATGTTTAACAGTTCTTCAATAATTTGATTTTCTAGAAGCTTTTTAAGGATGACTTTCAAGTAGGTGTATTTTGGGTAATTATTCTTTTTTAATTACCTTCAATTAATAAATAAATTGCGTTTAAAGTGGAAATTACCCTTTTTAATTCCCCTTTTTTCCTTTATGAATCTTGCATAACAGAAACCGCTTCGTCATTCCCAGCTGATGAGAGCTGGCTTGTCGCAGGACCTTTATGGATTTTATTTCTTAGGAATATGAAGTGAAAAGAATTTGGATCACCAAGCTATATAATAACAAATAATGGGATTTGTTGTGCTAGATGGCAAAATGATATCATCAGTTTTAGAAATTGAATCAAAGACGTTGAAATCAATACAACAGATGTATTTAGTAATCAGATGTACGAGATTCAGATAAGCACACACCCACCCACACAGATAGAGAAAGAGAGTCTCTGAAGAGACTGTAGCTCTAGTGGTTTGTATTTTTAACAAAAGAAGGGAAAAGTATTCATTGGATTTGAAATGAAATATATGGAGATAACAAACAGTATTCAAGCTCAAAAGTCTATTAAACAATACAAATTTTGGAGCAACGCAAACACGGACCTCTAAAACATCAGAGGTGGGATCAGGTGTCATGGAGGAGTGAACATTCCCTGCCGACCAGTCACACCCGCAGTGTGCTCATTGTCATGATCGGGAAATAACGCAAAATCCGTTGACAATTCAGTGTGTAAATAATGGCCTAACAATTAGTATTAAAAACGCAATTAAAACAAACTTAGTTTGACCTTTCCATTTGGGTATGTTTTTTACTGTGTATAGGGTCTCCCATAATTTTTTTAATGAATATGTTTTTAAATTATCGAGTTGTAAAAAACACTAAAAAAAGATAATTGGGCCATCTTTAAAAAATTGTATATTTGCCTTCTCCCGACCGACTGGCTAAAAATGGCCCCACTCAAAACTTTTCTTAAACATCCAGGAAAGATTATTATTATTATTATTATTCATTCCGAAATTTTCTCAGTTCGTCAACAACTATTTTAATTTTTTTATCCGATTTTGAAAATTCAGCATTGATGTTTTTCTGGGGGAAATGAATTTCCCCACCTACCTACCGACCCAATTTTTTTTGTCCTAAGTTGGGAGAGGGCAAACAAACAATATTATAATGGCCTTATCAAATCATAAAACATGGAATTTTTTCCTCACATTGTTTACACACTTTTAAAGGTTTAATAACTTTTTCACTTTCCCCTCGGCTGCATTACGCAACATACTATATAGCAAACAATATAACACTAGTAATGTGTATTTGAATAAATGCAAAAAAAAATACTTTTCAGATTGCATTAGTTTGTTTGTTTGTTTTTTTTTATTCATTTTACTTAATTATAGTGAAGTCTACCTCGGTCTCTCATGTTTTCAAATGCAGTATTTGAGTACACGACATACCGGTAGGTGTCGAAATACAAAGTGTATGGGAAAAGTTATCCACATAACATCGATTTACATTGGATACGGGGGAACACATTTAACTAACATCTTAAATATCTCTTACTTAAAAAAAACTTGAAGTTCATTCAGTATAAATACCGTGGGTTTTAATAAGTACATGTAACAGTGAGTCTTGCCATTTTTTTGGTTTGTTTTTTGTTTATAAATATATTTCTTAGAAAGGAAAAAACCGGTGTCTTATACTATATATATAAAAAAAATCTCATCTAAAACTGAATAAAATGAGTTTTCCACGCACTGCAGTTACATAGGCCTTTGTTTGAGACAAGTGAACATTTGAACTGGGATGACAGTGGTTTTTATAGCATAAAAAATGAAAAGAAAACACACAGATGAGCGGAAATGATGCAAACTCGGAACTGAGCTGCTTTCCGCACTGCTTCCTTTATTGTCCTAGTCACTTGTTTATAACTTAGATTTAAAAAGTGATTCGGACAATGGTCAATATTACAGAAGAAATTACCAGTGCCAATGACCACTCCACTCCACAGGTCAGTGGATATAGGTTGATCCACGGTTATGTCAGTGGGACACTCTGTTTCATTGGAGTCGTATTCAACATCTTCAATGTCATCGTGTGGTCCAGAAAAAACATGCGGACTTCCACAAACCTCCTACTGACGACCCTCTCAGTTGCGGATGGTGTTTCCGTTTTCATGTACCTTTTGTACGTTACATATTACTTTACTGCAACTGGACCTAGTGATTTAATCTTCCATTCCAAATCCGGAATGTATTTAGTAGTCATCTGCTTTCATGAATTCATTGCCTTTCATACCTTCTCTAACTGGATTACGATATCCCTGGCTATATTTCGTTATATCAAGGTGTGTCATCCGAACTTGGGAAAGAAACTTTGTACCAAGAAGAGAGCACGCTTAACAATCTGTATCGTGTTCATTGCAACAAACTTAGCCACAATTCCCTTCTATTTATACTATGAAGTACACGACCTAATGGAGGGCAACAGAAATTTGACCGGATTTTGGATTCGGAAAACGACTTTCGCCGTGACCCATGTCCAATATCAGACGATTTTGGCATGGTTATATGGGGTTATTTTCAAAGTCATACCCAGTATTGCCGTGTCTGTTCTTTGTGTGTTGATAGGCAAAGAACTACGTAGAGCAGATAAACAGAGAGTCAATAAACGAATGTCAAGCGGGTACATTAGAACAACTGTAATGTTGATGATAATTGTCTTCATTTACGTGTTAACAGAGCTTCCGATTGGAATTGTCTCATTTATATCGGGATTGAAACACTCCGAAAGTCATTTCTTTTACTTCCTTTTGTATTCTTATGTGGGAGATTTACTAGATACTCTTACGGTTATCAATGGTACTGTTAACTTTATAGTGTATGTCATACTCTGTAAACAATACCGAACTGAATTCAAGAGAACCATTTTGGGAAGATTTGTCAAGCGATATACATTAAAAAAAGATACGGGAGTTGGTCTCACCGAAGTTACTAACGATATGGAACTTTCCAAATATTCTCCGAGTGTTCTCTCCTCTGATCAAATTTCCAAGGATAAGCTAAACAGTGTGGAAATGATAGAGACCGAACATTCTAAAGTATATGATTATTAAATCAAGACATGAAAATACTTTTTTGATTTTCTACCACTGTTTTCCACTGTGTACGTATAAAAGTAACTAAATATTCTCAATCAGTGACATGGTCCAGTGAATGTTGTGACTGAAATTAACATCTTTCCAGATCACTGATTCTCATCGAGAGTGTCCTATACAAAATTCAAAGTACAGAAATTTAAATATTCAGTAATCTGCTACAAGCCAGCAAGTTGAAAAGTTATTTGTACAACAATTTTCACAGTTTAATGAACGGAGAAAAGTCAAAAGACAATTTTATATAATTTTCTGTTATAATGACTTTGACATTTATTGCGAAGAATTACCATGTTTTATAGACCAAATCAAAATGCAATAAAATTACTTCCAAAGCAGCTCTCTCTCTCTCTCTCTCTCTCTCTCATGCATTTGTGTTAACATCACCTGAGCCAAAGGCTCTAGTGAGGCTTTCAGATCAAAATTTGTCCGTTGTCTGTCGTTGTCGTCGTTGTAAACTTTTCTCAATTTCATCTTCTTCTCCAGAACTACTGGGCCAATTTCAACCAAACTGGCACAGAACATCCTTGGATGAAGGAGATTGAAGTTTGTTCAAATGAAGGGCCACGACCTCATTCAAGGGGAGATAATTCAGAAATAGTGAAAATTTGGTGGCATGTTTTAACAAGAGGCCCAAGGGCCTTAACGGTCACCTGAGTATAAAACAACAATCCATAGAGGTTCCATGAAATATAAATTGAAAGCTGAAAAAAACAAAGTTATACAATATAAATTAATTTTTTATCCAATCAAATGACGTGTTACAACCAAAATTAAATTATATTAAAATTACTTATCATGATTTTGTTGTTTTTGAGAAGATTTTTAAATGATCTTTCCTATAAATTCCTAACTAAAAAACTTTGATCATCTATTGTGCCCCCTCCCTACCCCAGGGGGTCAAGGTATGAACAAATTTGAATTAACATTACCCAAAGATACTTGCATATAAATAAGACAAATCATGGCTTTGCTATTCTTGAGAAGAAGATTGTTAAAGATTTTTCATATGTATTCATGTGTAAATCTTTGATCATCCATTGTGGCCCCACTCTATCCCCAGAGTCATGATTTGAATAAACTTGAATATATACTAACTGAGGATGCTTCCATGTAAATATAACCAATCATGGTTTTGCTGTTTTTGAGAAAAGATTTTTTTCAAGATTTTTCCTACGTATTCCAATGTAAAACTTTCATTGTCCATTGTGGCCCTACCCTACCCCTGGGGATCATTATTTAAAAAATTAACTTGAATTTACACTACCTAAAGATGTTTCCACATACCCCGGTAAGTTTCATCTTTCTTGGCCTAGTAGTTCTGGAAAAGATTTTCCAATGTATTTCTTGGCCCAGTGGTTCTGGAGAAAACTTTTAAAGATTTTTTCCATGTACTAGTATTCCTATGTAAAAGTTTGATCGTGCATTGTGGCCCCTTAGGTGACCTAAAAATTTTCTTCTCAAGAACCACTGGGCCAAAAAAGTTGAAAAAGGAAGCCTTTTTTACATAGTGTAGATTCAAGTTTGTTCAAATGATGACCCCTGGAGGTAGGATGGGGCCACAATGGGGGATCAAAGTTTTACAAAGGAATATATAGGAAAAAAATCTTCTTCTCAAAAACAGAAAAGCCATGTTTAGTCATGTTGATATGGAAGCATCCTCAGGTAGTGTAGATTCAAGTTTGTTCAAATGAATAACCCCCGGAAATAGGATGGGGCCACAATGGGGGATCAAAGTTTTACAAAGGAATATATAGGAAAAAATCTTCTTTTTAAGAACAGAAAAGCCATGTTTAGTCATTGATATGGAAGCACCCTCAGGTAGTTTAACATTGAAGTCCCCCCCCTCCCCATGTACACTTTTTAATACTGAACTGATTTGTGCTTTTTCCTAGCCAATATGCTCAGGTGAGCGATGTGGCCCATGGACCTCTTGTTTTAGTATTAGAACAGTATGGCCAAGTTTAAAAAAAGATATACGTTGAACTAATACAATGCCGACTACCTCTGGGATTAATGAAAATCGTTATCATTGTACTTTTCAGCTTCATCTTAGTGTAATCTGACTAATCTCGCACTGTAATCTTGCACAATTTCTAAAATAAAAAAAAAAATCATTAAATTGTTTTCCAGGCCAAATGCTATTTTTTCTTTGTAATCATTCATTAAATCTTTGGTGCAGGTTTTCATATACCGGGTATCTCCATTGTGACAAGCTGTGCCAGACTCCTTTTGTTAACACCTTAGCGAGGTCTGAGTATCTTTCGATTGTTTTCTTATTTTTTCTTTATATTAATTTTCTTTTCGGTTTATATATTTTTAAAGATGGACTTTATACTATGCTTAATACCGATGTAGGCCTACATGTGTTTCAAAGGCAGTGTATGTAAGCTTGTGAGCTTTCTGCTGAATAACAGTTATACTATTGCCAAAAAGATAACCAAAGTTCTAAGTCATACACAGGTAGAATGAATGGGGTTCAGATACATGTCAGTAACCCCAACAAATCAAATGTGCGCGGGTTAAACAGGGGTTAGGTCTTATTAAGTTCACTAATTATCCAACCGATAAAGGTTTATCGAAGCTGGACAGTACGTTATTGGTCTTATCTTTCCTTCTGTATCCAGCAATAAATTGCTTCCTCAAATCTTTCTGGGATGACTTCCTCCTACAGTTTTAGTCCAATTTCAGTAATACTTTATTTTTACACAAGTGGACAACTGTAAGATACAATATTCCCTGTATCATTTTTTCTTTGATTTTGATGAACTGTGTTGTTATGGTCACTAAAACTATACTAGTAGTAAATTCTGTGAAATTCTTTCTAAATGCTCCTACAGCTTTGATCCAATTTCAATAAAACTTTTCACACAGCTAGACTACACTAAGATAAATATATTTATTTACCAGCTTTTGATTTTGACAAAAGATGTTGCCATGGTTACTAAAAATAGAAATTTCTTTGAAATTCTTCAAATCACTACTCTTCCCAAAGGTTTGGTCTGATTTCAATAATACTTTCAACACAATTAGACTACACTAAGGTACATGAATCTATTTATCGATATATGATGAATGGTGCTGCTATGGTTTTTATAAAATTTCTTTGAATTTTTTTTAAAAGGCTACTTCTCCTACAGTTTTAGTCCGATTGCAATAAAACTTGCCACACAAAGCGAAGAGACTAAATTATTCATTTCTTGTTGTTGCCGTGGCTTAAAGTCAAGTGCTACCCTTTTCTTTCTTAACTTCAAGCCAGTAGAGCTACAACCTCTTGAGAAAATTCTGGTTTTATTAAGTTGGCTTCTGGTTTATTAACCGTTTGAAAATTGCATGATCCTTCTGTGCGCTTAAGCATTTTGCTGTCTTGTCTCGAAATCTGATTTAGCTGAGTGTTTTATCCGAAGCTTCTAAACTTTTCTGTATTTCCCACAGGCTTTGCTTTGTTGACCGTTTTCTATAGAATGGTATCATTAGCTACTGTACGTAGTTATTCTTCTATTTAGGTCGATTGGACTATCTTAATTATTATTTATCATTTCACCTGTTATACGTAAACTTCGTTTCATTCACGTTTGGTAGAATCTGGGAGTTTTGCTCACGTTATTAAGTGTAGTAGCTGTTGCGGTCACGTTTGCTTGCCAGGGTAAGATTGAAGCAATTCAAAACATTTTTAGTTATTTCTCTGATCTGCCTTTTTAGCCGGTTAGACCTTTTTTGCACATATTAGCAATAGACACGGGAGCTTAAGACTTTTTGAACTTGTGTCGAATCTTTTTTACACATTGTCAATAAAATATGTTCCAAATTATTGACGTGTGGTGTCTTATGAAGGCGGCTCTGTAAGTCTAGAAAGAAATAGTTTTCTAATGGTATTATTTTTAAAAATCCCACTTTATCACAATTTTCATTTTGAACAAAACTGATCATTTTTGTATTTTTAGAAAATCTTCTGAGAAATATTAGGGTGGGGCCACAATAGGCGTTATTTATGTCAATATGCAACTTATTTATGTTAACATGCAACATAATTATGTACACATGCGATTATTTATGTCAACATGCAAGATACTTATGTTAACGTGCAACTTATTTATGTCAACATGCAAGTTATATTGATATTTTAAAACATGCAAGATGATTATGTTAACATGCAACTTATTTATGTCGACATGCGACTTCTTTATGTCAACATGCGACTTCTTTATGTCGACATGCGACTTCTTTATGTCAACATGCGACTTAATTATGTCAACATGCGAGTTCTATGTCAACATGCAAGATAAGAAGTTGCATGTCAACATACATATCTAGCATGTTGACATAATTAACTCGCATGTCAACATAATTATGTTGCATCTTGCTTGTATCATGTCATATAATGGCGTTGGTAAGTAATTTTACCAACATTAAAATTAGATTTTCTAAAGAGATTGGTAACTTGCATGTTAACATAATTATTTTGCATGTTGACATGAATAAGTCGCATGTCTACATAATTATGTTGCATGTTAACATAATTATCTTGCATGTAGGGGGCTGAAATATGCCACCATAAGGAAGTTTTAACTAAATTATTTTAAACTAAATAATTCTTTTATTTTACTTTATTGACTTTATTTTACTTTATTGTTATCACATAAAATACATGTTTCAACTCTAATCTGAAAATAAACGTACTCACATTCGTTTCATTATATGATTCAATGTTCTGAGAGTAATTCAAAAAGGGATCAAAAGGGATCAAAGAGGCCTCCTAATTTACCTTGTTCTTTATTTAGCAAATTCTAAGGATATTATTTACAATTGACAATAAAGTGTTTTATCAATCTGTAATGATTAATATATTCCCTTTTCCATTATCCTTTAATAAATTTTCTGCTAACCGTAACCTTTTACATATATTTAGATGTTCTGGAGATTCTATATATATATACCTGTGTCTATATGCAAAATCTAAATGAATCCTAAACACAGCCTATTACATACATGACTACCTGCCCGCGAATTTAACACAAGAGATACTGGAATAACTTGAAGAGTAATCCAATCAATAACATTCTGTAAATTAATAAAATTAAAGAATGGTCAGGTGTAATTATTTGTTCATCGATTACGTGCTCTGTCGCCTGATCCATCCGACGTCATTGGGTCAAATAAATATATTTCATTAATGGTACTTGATGTTAATTTAGATTTAATATTAGATACGGAAAGTGTTCTGGTGTCATTAAAGCAACTGTAGATTTCATAAAGTAAGTTCATGGAGAGGACACGGATATATATATTGTTTTACTTTCGTCAGAGTTGATTGCTTCTGATATCCAACTATTCTCTCTCATATTAATCCATGAGGATCCTCTTATCGTATGGATTTGAATCTTAGATATAAAGGGAATTATGTTTGCAGTCCAAATTTCATTCAAAGTATATTAATCCTGCAAAACTTTTTTTTTTACAAAATTTATAATAATTAAGGATTTTTTTTTAATAATGGAAGTTCTATATATTTACAGTACCACAACTCATCAAGATGTACCTGAAATTGTATGGTTTTGGAAAAGGATTTTCCTGACATTATTTACCTTGTTTTTTGAAAGCTAATACGAATAAAAATGACAAAATGGACAGATTACTTAACTCCGCGCTTCATATCTTCGTCATGAGTGTGTCTCCGGGAAAACAATTATTTCAGAAATGACGGAAAATCAATGTCCACTGAATCAGCCTGTCTTAATACCGGTAATCATCCAGGTCCTTTAAAACGACGATTTCAATAATGTCTGAATTTCTAGGGCATTCCCCGAATTAACGGCTTTATTTATTTGTTCTCACTTAGAGAAAGGCACAGTCCAATAGGGAAGAGGGTAACGATGTTCAACAACAGCAGCGATTTAAGTGATTCTTTACCACAAGTGACTGGTTATCGTCTCGCTCACGGTTACGTTGCTGGAGGTATTTGTCTCTTAGGAGTTATTCTCAATATCATAAATGCCATTGTTTGGTCCAGACAAGCGTTAAAGACATGTACAAATTTTCTCCTGACGGTTCTCGCTTTTGCTGATGGATTATCCTTATTTTTCTATCTTGTGTATGTGACTTACTTCTTCATTGCAACAGGTCCTAGTGAACATATCTATCATTCCAAATCAGAGATGTACTTAGTTTTAATATGCTTTCATGAATTTATTGCATTCCACACGTTCTCCAACTGGCTCATTATATCGCTTGCAATATTTCGATATCTTGGAGTGTGCCATAATAAAATTTCCAAGAAATACTGTACAAGATGGAGAGCCAAAGTGACCGTCCTTGCTGTTTTTTCGGCCACCTCACTCGCCACGGTACCGTTTTACTTGTACTACGAGGTATATCAATCAACGGATGAAAATAATGCCAACAGTTACTGGATACGTAAGACCTATTTCGTTCAGACACATGTTGCTTACCAAACGGTTCTTTTATGGTTGTACGGTGTGATTTTCAAGGTGTTGCCAAGTTTGGCAATGATTGTTCTTTGTATCTCGATGGTACATAAACTCAGGCAAGCAAAACAAAGAAATAACACTTTAAACAGAGAGGTGTACCACTCTCATATAGCGTCTCAACGATACAGACGATCCACATTAATGCTTATTGTGATTGTTACAATGTACTTCTTAACAGAACTACCCGTTGGGGTGGTCTCTTTCATGTCCGGTTTGGAGGGGAGAGAGAGTCACTTCTTTTATTTTCTACTCTACTCACACGTTGGAGATATTATAGACCTTATTGCTCTCCTGAACAGTTGTTTGAATTTCTTCGTTTATATTACCATGTACCGTAAATTTAGAAGTACTCTTTTTAACCTCGTGAAAGTATCTTTTGGGTCCTCGCTCTGCCGGGGCAAGGAGATGCTCAGCAAACATTTGTCGGAACTTGAACAACCACAGCTGTTTTCCTATAAACGATATTGCTACACGTGCTACCAACAGAAGTGTATGCCGAGATCATTAATCACTCAATATTACTCTTCATCTATGCCTTAGTATTATATTATTGCAGTGATGATTATGAAAATGTCAGGGATTTCTCTCGATCTCTCTCATACCTTTTTTTAAATTAATATTACATACTATAAAATATCAATCAAATTTTGCGTATATATTTGAAATTTAGTTCTATAATTTATATTCTTTGTGTTTTATAGTTTTATTATATGTAATGATTAAACTTGTGAGAAATATTATCGCAGTGGTTTTTACATAGTTTTTTTCTGGAAATTTATTTCGTTATTCTATGTTGCATGCACACATTACCATGTACATATAGTTCTTAACACACATATTTAAATAATAATATATTTTTATAAAGAAATGTATTCACATATTAACCACACCATTTGATTACGTAATAGGACAATTTATAATTTAACTAAGCTCAAAATTATTTATTTATCTCAACGTTTATCAGAAAGAATATCGATTGCCAATATCTGCGTGTTAATTTTGATCTTGACTGAAATTTTCCAAGTGATCCTGCATTTAACGGGTAAAGTTAATACCGGCGTAATTAAAAACGTGGTAGTGATAATTTTGAGTATTTAATCAGCTTTTGATAAAGTTGTCCTTAAAATCTCTAGTTGGCGACAACAGACCTAGGTTTTCTAGGGATGAAAATCGTTTCAAGGTCATCCAACGACTAACAAGTACAAAGTATTTTCAACTGCGTTTTTGGATCAGGAAGCTGTAAAGGAAACCGATCACTTGACTAACCACTTTTTTAAAGTACGTGTTTACTTGAAGTAGACAAGTTTGGAATTGTTTTGTATGTAACCTTTCTCAATACCTTTTATGTGTAGATCATAATCATGTTATATATTTTTTGGTGTGTTCTAGAAAAAACGGGAAGGAATCGATGCATCAACATCAACTAGCCGAGGGTTTTTGGTCCGCTCCCCACGAATCGGACCGAAAACCCTTGGCTTGTGAAAATGACTCTGTACATGTTATGTAAGCATTCGTGTGTACCAAGCATGAAAATTGATCACGTCCTCCTAACCACTTTATACTATTAAGTGTGAAGCACATTTGAGTGGATAAAAAAATTGGAAGTAAATGAATATATCTGGATGAAAAATGTGATTGAAACTCTCTCCAACCCTAACTCTACAGAATGCTGAAGTTATAATTGGTACTCTGGGAGGAGGTAACAAGATTAAAAACACAATTTTAAAAGTTAGTTTTTTAATTATTCCCCTGACGATACTTTCGAGAAATACTATTTATACATTTTCATAAAAATATTCTTAAAAATATTTTGAAGAACCTATGTTCTCATTTTGTACAAATGACCAGGCAATTTTGCAATCTTTCATTGGGACCATAGTATAGTTCATTTTGTACAGTGTACATAGAATTACAGTGATTAAAAACCACTAAACTGAAAGCAAAAGCGCCACTCGAGTAATATGATATCAACTCTTAATAACTTCCCGAACACTGAACCTCGGTATTACTGCCGTAAACACAAAAAACAAATGTGTGTCTTATTTTTACTACAGCTATTAAAATTTATGTTTATATATTTTATGTACTTGTGGTAGGAATGTCTAATTCCTTAAACTGAATTTTAAAGCTTGAGAAATTTTTTGAAATTATATGTAGATGTTTTATATCCTCTCAGTATCATGAGCAGAAACATCTATCAACTTTATTTAAAGATTTGACATTTGTGAACTGTAATCTTCATGTAATACGGTTTTTTGCTAAATCCATACATTGTAGTTATCAGAATTTTTCAAAATATTTTTTTGGAATATCCAGAACTTCCATCCTGAATCGAATCCGGATGTCTGTTGACATTTGTGAGCTATACTCTTCATGTAATACGGTTGTTGGCTAATCCATACATTGTAGTTATAATAATTTTTTTAATTTTTTTTTTCGGAATAACCAAAACTTCCATCCTGAATCAAATTCGATTGAAATTCACACGTAAGCATTTCTTTACCCTCCCCCACACAATCATCGCATTATCTTTTACATAACCTTTAAGATGGGGTGCAGTAAACAAATCGTCATAAGAACTGACCAAGTATACAAAACGATATATAGAAGACGTACATCACATGACCAAAGGATTGACTTCCTCCTAAGTTTAGTGTCAACAATTAAGGGAGGGGACTATATAAGTGTTAACAATCTATCTCTATTATCATAATATTCAAGTAAGAATTGACTTCCACTGCACCTTGCAACAGTCTTCAGGGACGTAAAAATCATGGAGAATAGTTCGCTCTTTGAACATATGCCTGAACCAGTCATGGGCTATCGTCTGATACACGGTTACGTCAGTGGGACCATCTGCTTTATTGGTATAATTTTGAATATTCTTAACGGATTTGTTTGGTCGAGAAAAAACATGAGGACCTCCACCAACCTTTTGCTGACAGTTCTAGCTTTTACAGATGGTATGTCATTATTTCTCTACCTTGTGTATGTGACATATTTTTTCACTGCCACTGGACCGAGTGAATTGATTTATCATTCCGAAGGATGGATGTACATCGTTGTTATATGCTTTCACGAGTTCATCGCTTTTCACACAGTCTCAAACTGGTTGACTATATCATTGGCCATCTTTCGATACTTAAAAGTCTGTCAACCCAACATCGCCAAAAAGCACTGCAATCGTGCCAGAGCCAAGTTGACTGTTCTGATAGTTTTCATTGTAACAACATTGGCCACAATACCATTCTACTTATATTACGAGGTGTACGATTCTTCGGAAGATAACACAAATCTTACCGGATATTGGATACGAAAAACAACGTTTGCCAGAAACCATGTGGATTATCAGACAGTACTACTCTGGCTGTATGGTGTGATATTTAAAGTAGTACCGAGTATGGCCATGATTGTTCTTAGTGCCTTACTGATTAAAGAGCTCCGTGCTGCAATGAAACGGAAAGACCAGCTAAGGAGTCCCAGCCAGAAAGACCAAGCTAACATAACCACAGGATACACAAGAACATCGATCATGCTCGTGGTTATTGTCTTGATTTATATTTTGATGGAATTACCTGTTGGAATAATGGCGTTTCTTTCCGGAATCGAGGGAGGCGAAAGCCATTTCTTTTATTTTCTTTTATATTCCCACGTAGGCGACATTATTGATATGACAGTCCTTGTCAATGCAACATTGAATTTTTTTGTCTATTTCTGTATAAGCAGACAGTATCGCTCAGTGTTGAAGGCTCTTATTCTTAAAAAGGTGGCCAAAATTTACGAGATTAGTGACCATCATGGCGAGCATACAGCGTCATCACACGATAACACCAACAATATGGAGCTCTCCACTTCCGCTGCCGAGAGCTCTCATCCAAAATTACGAATATGGGTTTCCATCAAAAGAAGCTTCCGAAGGTGATGAGACATTACATCCTGGATGAGAGGGGTCAGTTACTCTCAACATTTTATCGTTATTAACGAGGCAATATTAAGAAAGATTAGAACATTTTTTTTACGAAAAAAGTTTAAACATAAGGGTGTAAGTCATTCATGCAAGGAGAATCAATGTCGATAAAATATTTGTTTTAGAATATTTTTTGTACATTATATGTTGTAATACTTCATATAGCCAATGCCCATAAAGGTATAATTATCAACATTGATGCTTTTGTTATACAAATGATCATGTTAAATATAATTAAAAAAACAAGCAGTGTTTTTTCTTTTATCCTGCTGATGTCAGATTAAAGAAAAAATCAAACAAATATAACAAGTGTGATGTCTTAATATGATAGACGTTGGCTTACGTAAAAGGACAGTTGAAACTGTGACAATCAGAAAAGAATATGGAAAAGTGGCCAGTAAAGGCTATTATTCATAAGCAGAAAAAAGTTTTATATTTTAATAATGCCAAACATCTTTTATATATATATATATATATATATATATATATATATATATATATATATATATATATATATATATATATATATATATATATATATATATATATATATATATATCTTCCTTTTAAGGACTCAACAAGGAAGTAATATGGTTAATTAAAATATCCCCCAACCCCCTTAGAATTAATTAATTTATATATATATATATATATATATATATATATATATATATATATATATATATATATATATATATATATATATATATATATATATATATATAATATTGTGTATCGTATACATCACGAGTGCGTTGTTTGAAACAATGCCAATAAGTTGTTTCTTCTGACGAAAGAATTTTTAGTGTTAATGCGTCTCAATTATTCTTTACTTACAGAACGGAAGATTTTTGAAAAAAAAAGAATTATTTGTTTATCACTTATTGAATCACTGAGTTAGTCACGTTCTGTTTTGTCGTTTGTAAGGAATAAAAACACTTTTGGAGATGAGGAAAACAATCGGACCTTTATTTACTCATCTCAAGTGTTTATTGAAGTCCGTCTCCGTACGCCGGTAAAATCAAACGATTTAATTGTTCTATCAAAGAGCAACGCTCTCCAATATAAACACAGCTTCGATTTTTGCCTAAAATCATTAAGTGCATGTCGGTATTGTGTGACATTGATCAAATGTAAATTTTGTAGGGTCTTTCATAAAACTTTAGAATAGAAATCTTAAGTACGAGTAGTAAAGAATAATTTTAACACAAACAGTAACTTTTTTTTTTTATGTTACTATACTTTATCTATTGATGGAAGCTTCAAAATCTTCATCTCTTTCCTGGGATATTTCTTTTCTTTATAAAATTTTTATCAATAGAAACTTAGAAATATATTTATAGAATTAAAAAAAATTAAGATAATCTGTTGCTGAATTTAATTTGTAACAAATTTTCACAGATTACAAACCTCCAGCAAGGCTGAACAATCCATTTCCGTAAACAGACTAGCGATCTGTTTTAAATTCTATAGTAGCAATCCAGATGGACAAATTTTATCGAAATAAAAGTTATGTGTTTTTTGCTCTTTAAATTAACAAAGAGACAGGGGTTTGGGGGTGCACTTGCAGTACATTGGAAGCTTAATGTCAGTGATGTCACCACCTTTCTTTCAACTGCTAACGTGGAGCATACTAGTATCCGATTCATGTCTGCGAGTACTGCACCTTTTGCAACCATCTTGGTAGTCATAGCGTCATTGGTTATCCGTTATTTCAAAATCCATCTGATGCCTGTACATGTACCGTATAAGTGGAAATTTTAGGGGGACGCAAATTTAGCAATACATCCTTACAAATATATATATATATATAGCAAGATGTAATTTTGGCGATTTTATAATGTTGACAAAGAAGTTATTACAAAAGATGCACAAGTAATTGTTAGCGATATTCAATTTTAGCGATCTCAACACCCTCGCTTATAATGCCAAAATTGAATCCTCGCTAAAAATTCTGCTTATATGGTATTTGAAATGGACGCCAACACTTCTGATTTGCTGTGATGCCGTCTTTCAACAGCATGGATGCAACATTTCCAAAAACAAGAGATTGTCTTCTACCAAAGCGTCAATTATATACTCTCAAAGTCTGTTCAAGGCCTATTTTTATGATAGAGTTCAGAGTTCAGGATTTCATAACCTTAATACATTGTTCAAGGACAATAAAGGACGACCATTTTTGTTCCTTCACAAAGCATTGCGACTTTTTAGTCCCCTACCGGTGAAACCGGAGGGGACTATAGGTTTCCTCTGAGACTGTCCGTCCGTCTGTCCGTCCGTCTGTCTGTCTGTCTGTCTGTCCCTCTGTCTGTCTGTCAGTCTGTCCCACTTGGTTTTCCGCACTTTTTTCCTAAACGCTTGCAGATATTGAGTTGATTTTTGGTGTGTGAGTGTATCTTGATGAGTTACAGATCAAGCTTGCATTTCGTTCCGCTTCATTGATTTTTGACGGAATTACGGCCTTTTCAATTTTTAGGGGTTTTCCGCAATTTTCTTCTAAACGCTTTCAGATATTGAGCTGATTTTTGGTATGTGGCTTTACCTTGATTAGTTATAGATCAAGTTTGCATTTCGTCCCGCTTCATTAATTTTTGACGGAATTATGGCATTTTCAATTCTTAACAGGAACCAGATTACACTTGCCGGTAGGGGACTAGTATTGCTAATGCAATACTCTCAGAATGCTTGTTAACTTACCAATCGTTGTTGAAAACTTACGCACCAATAGCGACACTTTAATAACATATATGCAATGGGATTGGACACAAGTTCTTAAAACTTTTAATTTGTCCTCTTCCTTCAACAATGTCAACAAAATGCATGTGTCACGCAATTGTATTGAATAAATTTGATTTCAGGTTTATTTAATTGTGTTAAGATATTAAAGTTGCAAAAACAAAGACGACGTCTATAACTTACTTTATCAAAACTATCAAAAATCAAAAATTCTTGATGTAAATGATCCCTGTTTTCAAGCATGTAGAACCTTGTCAGGTACCTTAGAGGTGATCAGGTTGAAATCTGAATGCCGTAATGGTCCGAGTTACCGAGTAACACTTAACATTTCAAATTTCTAAAATGTTTTAGAGTTTTTGAATTTTAATATATTAGCATAATTTCTTAATTTTAAAAACTCAAAATGTCTTCTTCTTTTTTTAAATCTGATGTTTTAGTTCAAAAATCTTAAATTTTCAAATTTCCAAATACATTTTAAATTTTAAATTTTTAGATTTTTACTTTTAATATTCAAAATTCAAATTTCCAAACCCGACTGTTGTCTTTTAAACTTTTGAGTTTTTAATTTATCGTTTGTTCAGAAAGTTTACGCTAAACAATTTAAAATTCAGTTTCATTTTTTGTTTTTTGATATTTTATTAAAATTTACTTCAAACTTCTTAATTTCAATTTTCAAAACGTTTCAGATTTTCAAATTCAGAATTTTGATTCAAACATTCAAATTTTAAATAACCAAAACACTTTTTACATTTTGATCTTTTAGAATTTTACTTCAAATATCCAAATTATAAAATTTCCAAACCCGATTTGATTTTTGAATCACGGTCGATATCAATTCTATTTTCTAAAAATTTGAAAGCCTCAATTACTTGATTGCAAACACGATTAAGGAAGTGAAAGTAGCGCTAGTCAATTCGTCAAATTGTCTCAAAAGCTTTTATTTTGAGGGCACCAGGAACATAAATATGTAAACAATCTCTCTCTCTCTCTCTCTCTCTCTCTCTCTCTCTTAGAGAAAGCAATAAAGTTTAATTAATTACTGGTTGAAGGACACATAATCAAATAAGGTCAAATGTAAATCTCAATATAACAAATTTTTTCTTTTATACATTTGCCCTCTGTAACAATTACCGTGTATTTAAAAAGGGGGTGTACTATTATGCATCACAACTTTTTTAAACTTTAATATGGATATTTTTTTAACCAATAAACTTTGAACAATTTAAGGGGAGGGTATCAATGCGGTTCACTTTTTAGGGGGCATAAACGCTGCAATTAATCCAATGCAATTAATGAAGTCAGGAGATAACGAACAGTATTCAAGCTTAAAGTCCATTTAAATAATAAAAATCGGGAGCAGAGCAAACACGGACCCCCCAAAACATTAAAAGTGGGATCAGTTGCCATGGAGGAGTGCGCATCCCCTGCCGACCGGTCACACCCGCCGTGCACTCCTTGTCCTGATCGGGAAAAATCCGTAGATAATTCAGTGTGTAAATAATGGCCTAACAATTAGTGTATAAAAGCGTCAGTCAGCATTTGATTTAATATGTTGTATTTGCTGACCAGGTCGTTGTAATGACCATAAAACTTGCAAAATGATGACTTCAAACGAGACTGTTGATATCCCCGTTTCATCAACTTGTTTGTTAATTGTTCGCCTCGTTTTAGACATTGTTCATACGCAGAGCATGCTTTTGCATATCGAATCAAATGGGAGACAAAAACCCCATTTGCAGGTGATAAGGGTATATTGCTACATAAGTATAAGGGAAGTTGACGATTGAAATAATGAAGTCATCAGGGGCGCAATTGGTACCCATGGGAAGTCCAACAGTTTGTTAGAAGACCTGATCTCCAAAACCACATAGATATTGTCAATCAGAAACTCAAGCATCTTTTTAATATCAACTTCAGGGTACCTGTGTGTACAATCAACTGCAGAATATTCAAGTGGAACTATGTATATAAATAGATTAAGGACGCTTAATACAAAAGTGAGATTTCATTGGCCGAGACACAGATGATTCTCTGTGAAAAGGGCTTCAATAGGGTTTCATGATCAGGGGAAACAATACAGGTTAAATAATAAAATGGAAAACATTTTCGACATAAATGATATTATCTTCATAATATGTGTTTGTTAAGTGTTACACGGACCCGTAATCTTTTCTAGTGCAAGATTACATAATATGCAGCTGTGTTACACTCTTGTTTAGGGCTCATCTCTGAAGAAAAAAACACAGCACTATACCTGATTCGTACGAGCTGCCTTTCCGAAAGAATGAGTGGACTTAACGCCCTGTTTTGGATCTTTTTGCGATTCCTCTACCAAGCTGTAAATGAAGTGTATCCAAAATATATTACAAGCAATAGAAAGATTTACGTATACATGGTTATATTAGGTAGAACATTTGTACAAAAGCAATGCCTTGTTGCTATGAATCAAAATTGAAGCAACTATACATTAGTGTCGCCGTCCGGAATTTGACATGTACCCGGAGCGGGTTTTAGGTCA